GGAGAGGGAGATGATCATTGCTCCATCACAGTGGTGATAAAGAGAATCTACAAAAAATCACAAAAATACTGTCACTCTCTCTGAACTCCCTCCCGCCCTCTCAAGGGGTCTTTTTTCATCTAACAATAACAAAATTTAAAAAAAATCTTTTTAAGGCACTTTGTGCCGCGCACCATCTCTTTGTGGAACCAGCTACCATTAGATGTATTTGCAAACCGATAACACTTTAGAAAAGGGCGCACCATTCCCTGTAATGTATGGCATGTCAATTTATTTTAAAAAGACTCAAAAGACAGAAATCATGGCCACCCTAATCACTACTACTGAATACGTAAAACATAATTTTGGCTTTAGGAAGGTGTCGCGGCGTGTTCTCTTTGACTAAATCTGATTAGGAAGTTAAATGTAACTGGTACTAAAAACAGTCCCGACCTATTACTGAGGATTCCAAACTCGTTAAGGAATGCATTTTCCTTAAGAAGTCTTAAAGAATTGACGCAAAAGAAAACACATTATTTTTGATAACCAAGCTTTATGCGCTTTGTGTTAAACATAAAATCTACGTTGCTTATAACATAAAATAAAATACTTCTCAAATTATAAACAAATCGTAGTGGCAAGTCAGTTTTTCGACCGTTTTTATACTAATATGTATAACGTAATTATTAATAAAAGGTTACGGGCTTTAGTTTTTTTGGTGATGGTACGTGTGTTAACTACGTTTGCCCCTTTTGTCTCACCTCCAAAAACAAAAAAGCTGCGAATTAAAACCAAAACGGTATGCTAATAGCATTTCCTGAGAGCGTTACAAAACTGGGCTGACAAGAAGCAGGCGAAAATGCAGTAAACAGCTACAAATACTTGAAGAGCGCTTCAGTCCAGCTTCGATTATGTTCCGTCTGTCTATGGTACTAACTAGACTAGCGTGTTCGGCCTGCGGTCTAAGGTTTAAGTGCCAACAGGCGCCTATTAAAGATTTAAGTTGGCGCCTGGTAGATAGTACAAGTTCGGTGTCACCCCTGTGCTGCAGAGCAGAGCTGTTGCAATACTTCCTGGCTCACACGTATAAGTCTCGCTATACATCGCTCTGGAAATGTCGCCAGCGTTAAATGTAACACTGCCACAGGGACCAAACTTTTATTACCTTTAATTTCGTTTTTAATAATTTTTATTATTACTTTGTCTGTTAAGAATTGTAAATACACATTATACGTATGTAGCATGATTAAATGAATAAAATTAATTATTATTGGTTGGTCATTGACGAAAGATGTAGACAAATTACTTTGTTACTTTAATTCTCAATCATGTTCCTACGGGCATTTTTTTCTATCAATTTATTTTATTTATTTCATAATCCTTCGTTTGCTTGGAATAAAATAATACTTTTGTTTTAGACTTATACTATAATAAAAACAATTATATTAAAATATACCAAGACATAACCCTTTGTACAAAAGCGTTCAAACATAAAAAAAATCAATAAATTTAACTAAGTAATAATTAATTTGTCTGTGTTCAATAGTGTGATGATGTCCCCCCAAGCCCCCCCCTTGAGGGCTATGTACGTGTTTCCGTATGATGGGGTGTCCTCACTGTATGCAGGTGATTTAGCGCTCATTGGTGATCCTTTGGAGCGTACCTCCGAGAAGAGCCTAACACTGTAGTGTTACAACCGTGCCTCGTTTGAGAATTGTGAGGCCGTTAGACACTTTTCTTTTGAGGGGGACTGATTTTCTTTTTCGGTGATTACGTCTGACAGTAATTATTTACTTTTATACACATATTATTTAGTCTAGTAGCTGTGAAAACTATATGCATTTACAATGAAATACAAAGAAAAAACGTTTATGCACTTATTATCTTTGAAGCCGTGCATTGGCCTCAATTGCTGACAAGGTAAGTGGGGGCCATTTAAATAGTGGAGTAAATCTGCATTTACGAGTAGTTGAAGGCGCCAGTTAGTCGTATACTTTCGTCTGTAAATGGTACTAATAGCTTACGTTCGATTGCATGAGGTCTAAGGTTTAGTTACACATGTTACTGGGGCCGAAATCAGTGTATCAAATTGTCTAAAAAAAATATTGCACGTTCGGTGACATCATAGTTCTCGTGCATCCAGCTGTTGTAATACTTTGTCACACATAAGTTCACAATGGCTCCTGTATGTCTCTCTGATTAATATCTTCTCGGGTATTAGGGTGAGACTCAATAGAGAAGCTGACCTTGACCTTCGAGGCTTCCTGTTGAAGAACATTATACTATATAGAACATTCAATTAGATATTCGTGTTGTATAGTCATTTTAAAAGATGGATTAGTAAGTACCAAGCAAGCAGCAAAGGTTGTCGAAATACAAATGACTGCTTATTTCAAATTCTATTTGTCTTTTGTCTCTTTTAGGTCAGACGGGACAATTTTTTTTGATATTCTATTTTACTGTAACTTGTATGTTTGTTTGGATTTTTGTTTTTGTGTTTTAGACTTACTTTATTATAATGAAATTATTACAAAAAAACCGGAGGCACAACCCTTTGTGTATGGACTTCAGATTTCTGTAACGTTTTATGATTATTTCTTTTTTTAAGTAGTACGGCTGCTGTGCCAATGCACTGCCCTCCAGTTATAGGTCTGAGGAATTCCGGCTTCCGCTAGGATATTTTTCAATCACCAGGGCTGCCGCGTGACTCACAAAAGCCCATTGGTGATCTTTGGAACGATCTCTACAAATGAAGAGAGACCAACACTGTATTTTAAATTAAAATAACTCATATAGACAATTAATGAATACCACAATAATTTCTTTTAATTAATTTTATTTTTTCTCATTTGATAGGTTATGTTAGACAATTTTCTTTTATCTAGTAGTCTTTGCTAATGTATAAATTATAAATTTCACAAAGATAGTATGGTTTTCATTTATAACCCTTGCAACACGAACATTGGCCTCAAATCTATATAGGTAATTAAAAGTCCATTTAAAATAGATGGATAAATTGAATTTTGGGCCGTTAAAGTTTAGTCTAAAAAGCTTAAAAGTAAAAATTTTTGTAAGTCGGCATTTCCTAGACTTGCTACACATTTAGCTAATCAGGTCTCATTAGCTGAAAAATAATATTGCACGTGCGGTAACATAATAAATAGGATGAGCTGATCTACGTAGGGTTGCCACACTTAAGTTCAAACGAAACATTTTTGATGATTAATATCATCTCAAATATTAAGAGTGTTAGACTTACCTACAAGTTGAGTAAGTTTTTAAAAAAATTTTGTATATGTCAAACTTGTAATCTTTCTAGTTGGAATATAAAAGAGATACACGCCTATCTATTTGAAATATAAGACTATATTGGAAGTGTGGCAGTATAGTGTAGTGTGGACTCAATGTCCGCACTTAGACTTCGTTCTTTTTTCTATTTAGTTCTTTAGACTTTACGACGTTGTGCGTAAAGTCTTAGCTAACTAAGCCAGCCTCGCTCCTTCCAGAAGCTCAGAAGTTTCCTGGGGACTTAGTAGGCTTCAGTGCTCCGAGATTTCTGTTCATTGGGAAGCCACAGCCACGCATTCCAGGACTACGAGTTATGAATGATTAATATAAGTATACATATACAACCTACAGTGGTGCTGATTTTGATGTCTCAAATTATTAAAAAATGAAAATATATATAATAAATATATAGAAAATAAATAAACTTAGAAGCTGTAATTACTGTTAAATACATTTTCAGTTTAATTTAACTAAATATAGAAATTGCTATTGAATAGAGTTGATTAAAGATAAAATAATTTAATTAACCGATAAACAAATAAATTGATGAATTTTTGTATGCGATCGCGATTACTTCAAAATCACATTAATTACATTTCTATAAAATATCAATCGACAGCCCTGGCAAGACCCCACGCTTCTAAAAAAGTATAAAATTTACATTTCGCGAAACTGTATCACAGTTGTGTTTGAACTAGAAAGGTGCGCTGTGTGTTCTCTATTTAAATTTCCCGCGTAAACGTTTCAAAGGCGCTTTTTATTGTGAAATTTTAGGTTAGTTTTTTTAAATATCTTAACTAACTTAAGGTGATGGAGTAAAAAAATGTAAACTGCTATCTTTGAAGTCATTATTAAACGTGGGGTTCTGGAATAGGGCTTGAATTTTCTAGAGGCATATAAAAATGTGATTTCATCCTCTATATTGAAGAGTTTTAAAACCCCGGGAATTAAACTATAAACGTCTCAAATAAATCGAAAGTGCGTTAGTTATTGAGTTTTAAATGAACCTAACCGCTAATTATGTCTGTGCTGCATACTATATGTAGTTTGGTTTTTTAGTATGTTTTGCGGGAAACTTTGTATATTTAAATGCGTATTGCGTAAATGTGTTACATTCTTTATTAAACTTGACGTTTCAAGCGCCTGTGATAATAATAATGTAATAAATTCGTGTCCAAATTTTTAACCTCATAAAAACATAATCTGATAATTGCACTCTTTTGGGACATAAATATGTACTTAAGTAAATACAATATTTCAAAAAAAATAAAGCTTCAAATATCTTATACCTATTGTCTTATCTGAGTACAATTAGATACATGTCAACACATGACAAGTACTCTCATTATCTATCTCTATTAGTCAAAAGGGCTGAATTGAACTGATTTAGTTTTTAATAATGGGATTCTAATGACCTGTTATTAATACAATTAAATTGCCTTACTTTCCCCGTGGGAAGACAGTACACACTGATTTGAATTCCGATAACCTCTCATTATTCTATAAGGCTAATTTATAACAAAAGGTATAAAGTCTATGGTATAATTGCATTATGGCAAGGACGCACTGCGGATAAATTTTGCATTTCGTTTCGTTTTGCGTGGTAATCCAAAGAGATCAATAAAAGCTATCGATATTTATTCCAGTGATAAAAGAATATATACAAAAGTTATACATTTGAACTTTAACATATGCAATTTATTTGATTTTCTTTCAGGTAAAATTTCAGCACGATGCCACTTTTAAAGGTAAGAAATTTCCTATTGGCCAATTGACAATACTAGAACGCTCTCTGTAACAAGTAGTTTTAAAATTGTATGAGATATAAAAAGCCTTATGAAGGCTCGCTTTACAATTAATTATTTTTAAGAAATAAAATCCTTACCAGTGCAAATATAATTGGTCACCTCAACAATAATAAATTAGTTTCGCAAACAATATTTAAAAAAACGTGAAAATTGAAATTATACTAATACCAAGTAACAGCAGTGGCCGTGCGACTCTCTTCCCTGAGGTCGTAGGTTCGATTCCCAGCTCTGCCCCAATGGAATTTCTTTCTATAGGCGCGTTTACCATTCGCTCGAACGGTGAAGAAAACATCGTGAGGAAACCGGCTTGACTTTAGAGCCAAAAAGTCGACGGCGTGTCCGGTACAGGAGCCTACTCGCGTATTAGATAGACAAATGATCATGAAACAGATACAGAAATCTGAGGCCCAGACCTAAAAAAGGTAGTAGCGTCACTGATTTTTTTACTAATACCAGGTAAAGCGTTCGTAATAGGGGTTATGAAGGTTGTAAGCTGTTTTTTGAGCCTTTTCTAACATTTTTCGAATATATTTCTCAGTAATAAAGATATATGATGACAAAGAATTACCAAATTACATCGTATTCCGTAAAAGTATAAACTAATTTGTCACGCATAATAAACTAGAAATAGGATTGACTCAATTATTATTAAATTACTCTTGAAATTACGAAATATTGTAGCGTGCAGAGGTATAATAGAGAAAATGTTAGATTAATGTTATGTCAAAATATACTTGTAGTACGAGCCAATATAATTCATCATCTTATTGACTTTGTTTATACGAAGTCTCTGGAACAACTGAAAAGTAAAAAACTCTTTAACAAGTTTCAGTATTGCTTCATGATGTTAAAGGTTGAAGGTGGGTGGGTTAGCCATTTATGGGACGACATATTTATTTAATCTTACAGCTACACATATATACATATTTATTTATTGAAGTTTACCACATCATTCATATTGCTTTGTCTACAGCAAATACATGCAAGCTTTGCAAGCTATCTTTTCTAAAATATATGACGTGGTGAACATAAATGTTACAAAAAATAAAAAAAAAACAAAATACTAGTATTTTTTTGCTTATTGTTAATCAAATAAAATAAAAAAAATACCAGCAAAACAGCTGATTAGGTATGAGATAGGCACTTAACAATTCTTTCATTAAAATTGGTCGGTTCTTTCGTCACAGTCGCACGCTGGGCTTGTCTTTAAAAGCCCCGTGGCCAGTCAGGATCTGCGCCATGTCAGGTGCGAAGCGCCTTGACTTGTTTGTGTGCCGCGTTTGCATCTTTGAAAAACATTTTTATGTCCGAGGCTTTTTCTCGCGCTCGCTTCAGGTGTCTAGAGTCTTGAGTCTCGTCAGTCGTCGCAAGTAGGAAAGCAGATACGCGTCGTACCCTATTGCGTGTCATATAAAAATATTAAAAATTTCAATATGATTTTTCTATCTGTAAACCATAAAAAATCCCATAACAGTTAAAGTACGCAACGTACGTACGTGTATATATTGTGTAAATTCCAAGGCCCATTTTTAAGTATCATTAATCATTATCGAGTGAAATTATAGCAATATTATTAACCTTGCTCTACATTTAATCTCTGTTTGATGAATGATACACAAATAACACGCAAATTCCAAAAACATTGATTAACGAGCCGTAATGTACTATGTTAAGAACAGTGTTAGCTTAGTAAAAGAAATCCATGTGGACGTATGTTCGATCTTCGGCTGTGTATCAATAGAGTTTTCTTCTTATGTTCTAAATGTGGCGTAATTAATGGGTAATGGTACCTCCGGGTAGAGGACGTTGTGGCGTTTTAGAAAAATATTTTTATGTTAGTAAAAGACTACGTAATTACGTTTTATTTAACAAGTACTCGTACGTCATAAAATAATAATTTCCATACACAAATAATCGTCGGACATGCAACATAAAGTAAATCGACTCATTTATTATGATAGCTTATACTATTATAACAAATTTTGAACAATGCAAAAAATTCTTTAATGTCGCCGATAGCTATAGTTCATAGCTTGTCGCGCGCCGCTTTTTTAACAAGTCATATTTTGAGACCAATTTAATCAAACGTAACCCATTGAATGTATATTACAAAGATACATTTATCATAGGCTACACGGCATATTCGTTGAGAATTATTGAAATATTCATACGGCACTTCTGAACATCTAAAAAGTATGCAATCGTATCCTATTAATCTTAATTGTTATGATTTCGACACAAGTGAACTTTGCTATAATATTTACGTCCCGCGATTGTAGGTATTCTTTTGATTCTACCGAAATAGCACGCCAATGCGCGGCGTTTGTTTTCACCGATGTCTAGTATTAATGAATTTGCAAGGGTGTTAAATTTATTGACTCATTTTACCTCAATTTTTAATGGAAAAATGGGTTATTTAAATTTTATTAACATTTTCCTTGTACTTTTACGTTAATATGCATATTGACACTGATATCCATTAAATAGAAAAATAAATTTGATTAATACGTTCCTACGAGTGGTAGTAATTACGACTGTTTTTTTTAATATAGACATCTACCAAGCCGGCAACGCATTTGCGAGCCTTCTGGCAATATGAGTGTCCATGGGTGGTATCACTTAACATCAGATTAGCTTCCTGCCGGTGTAACAATTATTTCATATAAAAAACTACAATCATAGGAACGAAATCTTTTGGAACATTTCGGATTTTAATAGCTCGTTCATGATTCATCAAGGTCAAATGATATTACTCCAATTTCTAACCATGTACCGTACATTGCGATACGGTCATAATGTTATTCAACCATAAATCAGAGTTAGGTAACCAACAATATCCTAAACAATGGCTCTCTTACATTCACTCGGTATAAGGTGGGTTTATATGTCGGCAATATCCGTTTTAAATAGAGAACGACGATATAAGACAAACTAATTAGTGCGCATAAATTAGTTACTAAATAAAAATACGTATCTCTCTCACATTTCAGTCGGTAGCTCATGTCGAAGCGTCGTCAGGCAAATAAACATCTGAAACAATTTCTGTCCCTCGCCTTTCTTACTACAGTTAACAGTTTTGAGGACGATGAGTCTTTCACTTGTTCGGTCCATCTGCTAAGTGAACGGCCACATGATCTTTTGCCTCTTGTGCAACCACGATCAGTTTCTCCAAGTTCTCATCTCCTCTGCATTGTTGATGACATTGCGGTCATCCGCAATGACAAGAAATGAAAAATACATATTTTCGACAGAATAGATGCAATATCGTAATGTTTGTTTTAAGACGCCATGTTAAGACATGATACTCATGTTACGGCTTACTTATCCAAAGCAACAGTCCAATAATGGCATTAAATATAAATGTCATGTTGCTTACACATATGTACCTTGTCGCCATTTCTTAACTTTAACTCTTAAACAAACTAATAATTTAATGCCTAAAGAACATAAACAGGATTTTTGATCTTAGTATTTATTTTTGCTACATATAACACAAGAATTAAGTCATAATATTACCTAACAATAAACTTAGCAACAGGACCTTTTTCTTCAGAGTCAAAAGTCAAAAATCATTTATTCATGTAGGTAACACAATGTACACTTATGAACGTCAGAAAAGAAATATACATTAAATGCTTTAGTAAATATAATTTTACTGCCAGTTCTCAAATCAAGGGCGTAAAACAGAAGAGATGAACTGGCAATAAACTCTCCGCCACTGTTTTTAATCGCCAAATTTTTTGTTTTACACAACTTTTGTAAGGAGCTGCAACCACTACACAATGTTCCACATGAAATTTTAAGTAATAAATAATAATAAAATAAGTTAAAAACAAAGATTTGTCCTCTATCAGCAGGAGGCATGGCATGAAATACAAGCACGCACTTACATTCTCGTGGGTGAACTATAGTAGGTAGTAACTGTTTGAATTTACTATATTTATACTTATATATATATATATATATATATATATATATATATAAGTATAGCTACTATATTAGTAATATTGTTCAAACCTTGTGAATATATTATTTTAAAAACAGTTACATATAGCCCTAGCAATGGTAAATGGTTGTTCCCGCAATAACAATGGGTGTTAGATGTCCATACATCGTCTGGTTCACAGAGAAAAATTAATTCCTATGTCAATGTTTGTTTTCACCGACAATTCGGCTTTTTGTTCAGTTTATGTCGGAAATAAATAGATAGTAGAAAATGTTCATTCATATATCCGACAAAACAATCCTTTACTATTTAGGGAGAGCATCATGACTTAACTATCTAATGTCATCCAAGGGCCATACACTGTGTATAATTTTAGTTCCTTTATGTTATACAATACTCAATTTTATTTTTTTTAATATTGAGAGAACTATATCATATACCTAACAAATGGTCGAGGTCGGTATCGTTACTGAAAGTTATTCAGTATGGAGTTACTTTTAAAAGCATTTACAATAAATAATAATAAAATTTCAGTTGTTTACCACCGTTCTTCTGGCAACTTTGGTGTGCTGTGAGCCTCCAGTCTACAGAACTTACCAGAATGGATACAATCGACCTGCGAATAATTACTTACCACCAAACCCAGGTAATGCTTATTTATTAAGAGCTTAAATATTATAGATTTAAGAAGTCTCTATATGATTTTTGCATACATTGTCAAGTGGTAAATCTAACAACTCTTGCCCCATGAAATCTTTTTGAAACATTGTTTTTCCCAGTAGGTACAATTAAGAGAATATATAGCTTTGATTTACCAAATAGGAGATTTTTTCCTTGGATCTGTAACCGAATCCGTAGTGCTATTGTTGACCATAATATGGTGTTCCTAGGTTCTGATTCCTGGTCATTGTTTCGGGTTGGCAGGTTATGCCAATCAGGCAAATTACCTTAAAAGGATCACGCAGAAATATGTCCGGGTAACAAAGTGACAAACAATATGAACCTTAATGGACGGATTTCCTATACCTTGGGATTGTTTGTGACGTCTTCAAGAATAATTATTATACATCAGTCAATTTACATAATTTACCTGAATGTAAACAACCTCCTTCCTCAGAAATCACACTATCAATTCATATATTCCATTGAGTGATTCCATTTGTACGGATTTTAAGCGTACATAATATAACAAACTTATTATCCCTTTATTTATTCTTCAGGATTTAATCTACCAAACACCTACTTGCCACCGCATACTGGATACCCAACAGATTTTAACGGCAACGGACAAGGTCACGGACAGAATCATGGCCATGATCATCACGGCCATGGGGATGAGAGTGAAGTGGTACGTATATTCTTTAAGTTGCGTTAATTATTATTTAAATTGTTTTTGTTAACTGAGTTATAGGACGCGTAAAATTACGTAAACTTAATTGTTTGAAGTACTTACGTGCTGTTTCGATTTTAAAAAAATCAGTGGCGCTACAACCTCTTTAGGTCTTGGCCTCAGATTTCTGAATCTGTTTCATGGTCATTTATAAATCTAATAGGCAAGGCCATCAGCCTCCAGCCTGACACACGCCGACTTTTTGGGTCTAAGACATGTCGGTTTCCTCACGATGTTTTCCTTCACCGAGCAAATGTTAAATCCGCAAATAGAAAGAAAGTCCATTGGTGCACAGCCGGGGATCGAACATACGACCTCATGAGAGTCGTACGCTGAAGCCACTAGGCCAACACTGCTCATGATGTTTCGATTATCAGTACCAAAAATATAACTTCATTTCGACCGATAGCAATGTAATAAAATATAGAACTTTCATCAAAGTTAGGCATCGCGTTACAGAGATAACGCGAATATAGAAAAGTAAAAATATTTAATTGAAATATAGAATTAGTTAAGTTTAAAATAATTTATTTACAATATCAATATTTAATAACATTTGTACAAGCCATATATAATATAATAAATTAATTATTTTTATTTGTCTTAACATTATAAACAAGATAAGAATTGATCGGCCTTAACCTATAGATATTGTCGTCAACAGAATAAAATATATCACCATAATCCCCAAAGATTATGCTTCTAGGGTAAAATTGTAGTGTCGCCACTTTATTTGCCGTACCGTTCCTGCAATCAATTTCATACAAACCGTCATCTGTCACACCAAATGTCTTCTCTTCGTCACTCAAAAAATGATAAACAACATTCAAATCCGTGTTTTTGACAACTTCAGCGCCATTTATTGCACAGAAAACCCCGCACATTGTAACAAAATGTATGTTCCTCTTGTAATCGACGTCGAAGTCCATGACAGTTTTCATGTGGCCAACCTTAACCCCACGCAGGCCAAGATCATATATTTTATATATCATATGATTGTTAGCATCTATTATAAACATTTCATTGTTTCGTATAACAATTTTGAATATGTTCATATTGTATAGACCAATATCTGAAGCGATATTTGTAACGGGGTCGTATTTATATAGGCCGTTATCCGATCCAAAGTAAACATCTCCTGTATCCGAATCTACAGCTGTAGCCTTATTTCTTGATATTCCTTTAATTTTATTGGCATTCTTTGTTATTATGTTGATGTATGCTCGACCTGAGTTTTGCAATTCATCATCCATATACATGAAATATAGATTTCGTGTTGAAGAATCGTAGGCGAGTTCTTTTGGGTCTTTGAAGCGATTTGTTAGTAATTCTTCTTTGTAAAGACGACCGCCTATTTTTTGTATCGGCGAGTCTGTAAGGTACACACGCAATTTTGCTTCCGCACTTAATATAGTTACAAGTGTTATTACGTAGAACATTGTTAAGCTAGATTGAAAGCCAGATTCGCACTGAGAGCAATTGAAAATGTTTTCATCTTTTATCTGACTGAGGTTAAACTAATTTACGTTTGTAAGTCTTTTGTTCAGTTATTGAATAGTCGACTCTATGTTCTTTAAAGTAGGACACGTATTGGTTTAAATTGATGCCAAACGTGGATAAAGTATGAAAATTGTCATATTAGTCCAGAGGTCACGAACAACTCATCTCTTGCTAATGCGTTTAATTGTTTTTGTTAAACGAAATAAACCTTCTTGAAGGGACAAAAGATATTGCTATTTTCAGATAAGAAAATAAATTAAGACTTCAAAAATATCAATAAATGGAATATTATAATTAACTCACTTATTTTAAAATATATACTTATTAATTACTGACATAGCAAATATCATACTTGTGCGTTTTTTTAAAGGTACTTAATTAAAATGATCTTATTTTAAAAAACATTCGATTTTGAATTAATTTATTACAGTTAACAACCCTTATTTAAATTAGGCTTAAGTCTTACTAAACTTGTTGCATTAGAGTATATTAAATTATTCTCATTATCAAATGCCAGTCCAAAGCAATCGTTAACTTCCGTCACTTTGTCAATTCCACGCGTTTCTTTATTCACTTTGTAAACATCATCTAATTCACACAAATACACATTACCATTAATATCTGTGGTTAAACTTCTGACTGACATATTGTTTTTAAATAATACAGCATCCTTTGTTCCTTTCTTTTGTCCAAACAATCCAGTGGCATTGGTATAGAAAAGAATATCTTCATTGTCAATTACAAATTGATCGACTTTTGTGTCTTCCAAATCTTTGAATCGTGTCGAAACTCCATCTATGTATGTATATAAAAACTGTCTAGGAAAGTCCAAATAATACAATATCTCCTTATAATATATTCCCCAGATGTCGGCGCCGTTTGCACCAAAGAATTCGGCTTTTTTAGATTTGTGATCGTATTTGTATATACCATCGCTGCCTCCTATATATACTTCATGATTTTTCTGATCAACAGTATGCGCAAAGCCATTCGTTACTCCTGTTACCTCGCCAGACTCTTTAGTATTCAGATTCAAGAACGCACTCTTATAGGAGACGTCGTCGTTAAAGTCGATATTAAAGCTGTAATATAAGGTGTTAGTACTGTAATCAACTGCCAGAAGATACGGTCTATCAACGTCAGTTCTAAGAACTTCTTTCTCGTGATAAATATCATTTATTTTAATACCGTCACATTCTTCCTTTATAACACCAGCTTGTACTAGTATGAAACTTGAGAGGAGAAAGAGAAGCCGCATTTCTGTTAGTGAAATATAGTAGGAAACCGAAGTTCGCGATGTGGGCGATTTATTAAAATCAACTTACTTGTCCGGTTTGTGTTGCCGTCAAGTGCTTACTGAGATAAAATTAAATAAGTTGTTATTTATAATATATATTATGTGACGAGAACAGGAAAGACGTGGAATTGCTTTGTAGGCAGTTTTAAAAGATTTTGATTTAAGTAGAAAATGCGATCCAATATTAGTACTTTATAATTGGTTTTTATTTATATAAAAATAGAAAAGAGAACAAAAATAGACATAATATGCCCTATATACGATTATAGTCTTCTTACCTGCGCATATATATTCTATGCACACCTAATGATACAGGCACAAGTAGTTCTTACTAAGTATAGTTTCTACTTTTTATTCTACAAAAATATTTTACAATAAACTTCATTTCTTTAGAATAATAAAGTTAAAGGTTATCTCTTGATAATAAATTCCAAACACTACGATATGATTTTAACTACACAATTAGCGTCAGATATACAAAGGTCTCGAAAAAATATTTCTGTCTTACTTGGTTATACTAATACTTTCTTAGAAGGAAAGGCACGGCATGGTACCTTCGAACTCCGGCTGTGGGTAGTTGGATTTTGATTTCTATGGGCGCAAAGAAACCTCGTATGTTGAGGTAACCGTTTTATTATAACTAAGTGCCAAAAACCTTAAGATGGAGGTTTACAAATGTGTGATTTTTTACAACTTAAATTTATAACTATATAATTTAAGTTGAATGATTTCAGCCTAAAGCCTATGAGTTCGGCTATTCCGTGAAGGACGCGGCAACGGGAAACGATTATGACCGACGGGAGATGTCAGACGGCAATGAAGTGCGGGGCGAATATAGGGTGCAGTTACCCGATGGAAGGACTCAGATAGGTGAGCAAAAATACTTAAGGAAAACATAAGGACACAACCCAAGGTCACACTTAAGGAAATTAGTTAAAAAATATAATACAACTTATTAGATGTCTTTGTCATTAACAATTCACATTAGTATTACAAAGTTGGAGACTGCTTTTGTTCGAACGCGCTAATCTCGCGGTTCGTATTTATCGAGTCTTTGAAAGCCAATGTGTCTGAAGCATTCCTTAAATTTCAGTATCATATCACGCGGATTGGCAAACCGGCTTCCACGCTGATGTTAGGTATGAGGGAGAGGCGCACTACCCAGAAAATAATAATTTAGGTAAGAACGAATTAATATGGTCCCTTATTCATAAAAACTATATGTTTATTTGAACTTTGTGTCAAATTATGTTATCGCTAGAAACTGAAGGACTGAAGACAGAGACAAAAAATTAACTCATTGGCAAAAAATATTGATAAATAAGCATTTTTAACAAATAAATTACTATTGTCTTTGATTGACATAACCTTTACACATTTTAAGAAAAATCTTTTTAGCCGGATTAAAGTTATGTATTATTATAAATTTACAATTATTTAACATAATTTTAAATTTATCCGATGTTTCGCGTGCTTGACTGACCGTCACCGTGACCACGCACGCTGTTAAATAATTGTAAATTTATAATAATACATAACTTTAATCCGGTTAAAAAGTTTTTTCTTTAAATAAATTACTGTTTTTCCAAAGTGATATTTTTATATAGATAGTTGAATATTTGGAAGATATTTTTAAATTTCTGTTCCAATTTAATTTTCTTTCTTTGTTTTTATCGTGAGATCTTAATATATTGCAAAAAATGCTTAAAAAGCCCCTTTTTAAGCAACACAACAAGGCTTTTTTGCCAATAAATATTAATTGAAAGATTATTTTAAATAGGTTACAACACCGGTTACAACTATAACACACCGGATTACTCTGGTTCTCTCAGCGGTTTCCATGGCAACCAGCAGTTACCGAAGCCATCGTACGGGCCACCTTCATTTCATTGAGACTTAATTAAAAACATGTACTTATGACTAAGTTTATATGCAAAAAAATATATTAATTACGTAAATATTTATAGATATAGCACTTTCAAATATGTACTTAAATATATTTACACAAAATGCTTGCCAAATTGTTTTTAGCACTATATAAATACTCATTTCTTAAATTAAAATATGTTATATTACTTATAAACTTGATAAAAATTTAGAGATTTCTTAAACTTATAAAAAGAAAGTATTATTAGTTTTATCTTTTAATACCACAAAGTATTTTAGATAATGTACAAACGTAGTATTATTTTTGTAATAAATACATTTTTGATAAATATTTGTTTTATTTATTACAAAAAAACAACAAAATTATTTAAGAGCTTTATTAAGGACAAATTATTATATACAATAACAGTATTTATTTAAATATGGGTTGCGGTCATCTAAACAAGCTGGTTCACTGCCGTATCTGTAAAAAAGTATAAAAATTTAAGCTACTGTTTACCTCAGCTGTTAAAATTAAGTAATGGAATGATAATAATACTTATACGACTTTTTAATTCATAATTAAAACAGTCGTTTCATACAAACATTTTAATTTATTAAACAACCTTAAACCACAAAAAATTAACTTCATAATTAACTTAGGTTCTAGGTTTTTAATACATTTAAATAATAAGTTTCTAAAAATGATGTTACTCACGCAGAAATCCTCGAGATATCGTTATCTGTTACCGTCAACGAGTCGTTACCGGTATGATATTGGAGTGTCGCTTCGTAAATCGCTCTGCCGGGGCTCATTATAATCTATAAATGTATTACTCAATTTCAATACAGTGATTTAACATAATTTTCGACTTTGAAATTTGAAATTTACTGCTGCTCTCCCGTGTTGTAATTGACGGAAAACTGAGTTCGATTCCCGGTATTAGTTAGTTGTTAACGTATATTCTTAAATAATTAAAAGGGTGCGTGTACTTATGTACGCGCGTAAGAAGTTATACATCTTTGGCATTATTAAAAATAGTTTTTGATTGCATGCAAATAATTAATTACAATTAAATAATCAAAGACTGGAAAAGGAGTCATTATAGACAATAAAGTTCAGTTTACATTTGAAAAATTAAATAAATATTTATTATTATTCTCTTACATTAAGTGTAACATAAATTCTATTATTATTCGAATGTTGTTTTTATGTCCAATGCCGTAGCATCTTCCGTGGGCAACTTCATTCTGTTAATTTTGTGTCACGGTGCGCGCGCATCGTAAAATTTCACTCTCATCAATTATTCATAACGCGCCTAAAGAAGTATAACTTCAAAAATATCAATTTTATTATAAAGGTTTGTTTTTTATATACTCACAACCAGTTGGTAGTAGACGGAGTTCCCGTAAGTATTCGAGCTCTGACCATCGCGTTTTATAACCCATTCTACTGATGTTAGCTTCCTCTCCGCACACTGACTTCTGAAACAAATAAAAAAAAGGTTTAGATAATAAAAAAGTCAAATTTGAATTTAGAAAAAGTTGTCATTTGACAGTAATTTGCCAATATGTCACATGTCAATTTTTTTTGCATAATAGCATTTTTTTATACAGAATACGATTGTATTAGAATTTAGCAACAATAAAATATCTTCAAAGGCTTGGGGAAGAATACAAAATCTAATCTTTTCCAAGTAGAAATAGGAATTATTGTTTACTTTTGTATTATTTATATATTTTTTTAATATAAATTTCCCAATATCCCCGACTCTGTGGTGCGGGACCTTATTTTATACATATATTTCGTACAAACATATACATACATACATACATTAAGAAATTTCCTAATACTATATATATATCCATACACAAAAAAACATATATTACAAAATTACGATTTAAATTACCGTTTTTCCAAAGTGATATTATTAATATAGTCGCACAATGCGTTGGCCACTGTAAAGTAATTGGGATCCTTCTTGTCAACATCATGCCACTTGCTATTAGTGCAAGTACACCAATGGGGTAGAATTCCTGCGTCTTCGCAGCTACGGGTGGAGTGGACGGTATCTAAAAATAATCATATTAAATTTAAAAAGAATGTGTGTTGTGAATTAAGTTTGTGGCGGTTGTTGTATATTCAAATAAATCACTTTGTTTGAAGCTGGATAAGAATTGGCTTTAATTGTTTAAAACATTACTAAGATAACATTAGGGGTAGTGGGGTTGCGACGCTGGATTAACAAAAAACTAACTTGACTTCTAAGAGTTCGTAAATCTAAGTGACACTTAAGTTATTGGACATTATCGGAAACGAGAATGTTAAATTACTAATTAAAGGGCTCATATTGGCTTCAAGAGTGCGATATTGTTTACGCATTTAAATATTAACTAAATATATATATATATATACTAGCTGCCCCCGTGAACTTCGTTTCTCCTTAATGTGATTTTACTTAGCCTACCTTTTTAGTACCTACCAACATGGAACATTTTGCTATGCTACCCCGGATACTGTTTGATTTTCCGGAATGAAAACTTTTAAGTTTTTCTGTGATTTTTCTCTATATAAACCACAGAGTTCAAGTTATAAGTTCTCAACTAACAATTAAAAAATAGAGGTTGATCGTAGAGGGTAGATGAAAATTAAGGGTTGTATGTATTGTTGTATGCTGTATCATAAAAAAATAAAAACAAAAAATGTTGTCTAAAAAATAAAAATTTGGGGTGGACACCCCATATCACTTTGGGGTTTGAAAGTTAGATAGTAGCCGACCTAGACTTACTGAATATGCATACAAAAATTCATAAGAATCCGTCGAGCCGTTTCGGAGGAGTATGGGAACGAACATTGTGACTCGAGAATTTTATATATTAGATATATATATGTAACTTAACTAATTTTAGGTTACATAACTCGTGATATAAATTTATTTAAAGGGAAGTAATTGCCTTCTGCGCCTGACACACGCCGTCGTTTTTGGGTTTAATCATTAAACTTTAATGTATGCCGCTTTCCTCACGATGTTTCATCGAACCAGTGTTAATTAGCACATAAGAAAGCGTAGCCTAGACTCGAAGTCACGACATTAGGGTTGAAAGGCGCACGATGAAGCCACTTTACCAACGCTTCTTCATATTGAATAAATGCCTTACCATTTTTAACGATCGTCGCTCAAAACTACCCTCTTATAAAAATTTAATCTAATACACTGTCATAATTAAATACTCACCTGTCTCTTCTCATCACAGCGTCAACACAATTTGAGGGAAAGAGAAATAATTCAGTTAAAAGAGTGCAGGACAGATTAAACTTTTTAGATTGAAAGCAACATATTGAAAATAACTTATCTTTTAAATTTCTATAAAATCGGTTTGTCTATGAATTAATTACCGGTTCCAGTAAACTCAATCCCCGCAAAATATTAGTATTAGGCACAGCATAATCACTTGCGTAATCTTTCAGTCCAATTGCGTCCAAAATCGTTGTGTGTATATCGAAAGGTGTTGTCAAAACTTTGGCGTTTGACCGGAGAGTCCAGATCGCATTGGGACGTTCCCTTTTCAGTCTTTCCGGCAAACGTATGGCCATAAATGGAAGACGTTCCTCCATTTTCCCTTGATATGTGTTTCGCATTGGTGAGAATCTAAAAAATAGCAATAGTTTCTCTTAATTATTTATTATTTTATTATTTATTAGCTGACCCGGCGAACTTCGTTCCGCCTAACAGTCGAATAATATCGTGTTAACTTTAGTTAAACTTAATTTAGGATTTAATTAATGTATGTTCATAATAGAGGTTATTATACAACTTCTTTGCAAATATAGAAATGTTTTATTTCGTTGGTATTGGTAGTTTGGATGCCAAAAACCGCCATATCACTCACTTTCGTGACATATTTGCAGATTTTGATGATCTGATGGACTTATTTCGTCAGATGGCAACACGCGCTTTTTGCATTCGTAAAATTAATGATTTAATTTATTGTTATTCGATAGCTTATACGATATTTTATTACTTATTTTGCTATTCGGAGCTGAATTAAAATTAATTATTAGCGGTTGGCAGCAACCGCTTGTAGCGGTTCGTGTATGGTGGGTCCGGCAGCTCTAAGCAGTCGGCCGTACGGCGAAACTCGACCGCAGAGCGACTGCTCCGACCGCTCAGAAACTGGTCGTGCGGTCCGTGTATTGCGGATATGAACAGATAGACCGCTTCAGATGCTTCCATGCTGAACACGACGCTCAGAAATGAGCTGCCGATTAAAGAGAGCACGCTTTTACTTTTTCTTATAATGTTCCCAAGTACTATCTCACAATAAACCCCAAATATATTCAAAAAATTATACATTCGACATTAATTATAAATAGCTTTAGCTTATTATTGTGACATTGTGTTTGTGTTCATATTCTGACATTATAAAAATTAATATGACATTTGCATGCCTATTTATATATGGCTGATTGTGCGGATTTTTATAATTGATCTATAAATTTTTAGAGGCAAGGTGCCTTTATAGCGGGGGCCTGTATTTTCACCATAAGTTTGACAACAATTAATTATAAATAGCTTAACTTATTATTATGACATTGTGTGTTCTTATTATAAAACGTAATGGAAATTAATATGACATTTTCATGCCTATTTTTATACGGCTGATTATACGGATTTTTATAATTGATCGATCTAAATGTACCACTTTCTTGCAAATAAATGATTTATTATTATTATTAAAACGTGTCTATTACTATCTTAAAAACATACTTTATACCAAAAAAGGTATTTTCTTTTCGATTTTGTGCATAATTGTTTTATTATGCACAGAAGAAAAAGAATTATAATTAATAATTTTCCGACCACTTATTATTAATTTCGTACATATAACTGACGTACCTAGGTCCATGGTCTCCCATGAGTATAAACAGGGTGTTTTCCAAAGTATTTGACGTCTTCAAATGCCTTAATAAGCCCACTAAGTCATCATCAACGGTCGATATGAGATCGAACTCATCATGGCACACATCAGCTATGAACGTGAAGCAGAATTTCTTTGCTTGAACATTAAGGAACTGAAATTAAGGTAAATTTAAAGCCGCGGGAAAAAACTATTATAAGATGGTATTTACAGGATGTCCCAGAAAGAATGGATAATCCTTGAACCCCGAACGGGACAGCTCTCTAGACTCTAACGCTCAGAAAAAAATATCTAAAATATAATTCCGAGTGATAACCAAAATATGATTTTTTTTAGAAAAACATACGATATTTTTACTTTACTTCATGTGCACAACGGCCACAAACTAATGAAATTTGTGGCGTTTTTGGTGTCATCTTATTCCTATAATAGATATACATTAAATAATATACGTATCTATGATACTTTTTTCAAAAACTAAATAAGTATTTGAGTTGAAATTTGATACCAAAAATAATTTTGGCATAGCTTGAGTGTGTCGTGTAAAAAAAAGTATGAAAACGTAAGTGGCTATTTTAAAAATGCGCAGTTCATACAGTTTACAAAATGGTATAAAACATAATTTTATCTTATACCACTACGAAGTTTTTGCTATTGAGATGCAAAAAAGACTAAATACGACTAAAGACAGAAAATTGTAAAATGATATTTTATCTTTAGTTTGGTATCTAAGGTTTGGTTCTCATCGGATCGGTTTCAGATTTTTGGAACGAAGTTCCTTATCGCGCGTTGTGAAAGGGGGCTAGACGGAAAAAAGGGTGCGTGGTACTTATGTACGCGCGTAAGAAGTTATACTTCTTTGGCATTATTAAAAATAGTTTTTGATTGCATGCAAATAATTAATTACAATTAAATAATCAAAGACTGGAAAAGGAGTCATTAAAATCAATAAAGTTCAGTTTACATTTGAAAAATTAATTAAATAAATATTTATTATTATTCTCTTACATTAAACAAATAAAAACACTATTTATCTTTAAAACATTTTTATTTCATTATACTATTTATTTTTAAGTGACTCTAATGTCTTCATCAGAATTTCGGTTTGTAATTTTAAATTAATCATTACTTGGTTGTGCATCTACGAGGCTTCTCCAAAACTACTTGCTTTCTGCAACAAATAAGAGAATATTAATTTAAGCTCTGTCCATGCAAAACTTAAAAAATTTTATAATTCATATTATAAATTTTTTTAACACATTTATATTAATTATTATATAAATGTGTTAATAATATAATTTGTAGCACATGCTACAGACCTGGATAGCAACTTTCTTTTATTCTATTTAGAGATAGAGATAATTTAAATATAATACCGGTGTCTTCCTTGTAGGTTTCTTTGGAGTTGTTTGGGGATTCTTGTTGTTCAGTTCGACATGATTTTCTTTAACCTTTTTTAATCCTACAAATATGAAATTGTTATTAGTTGTCACTGTGTGCACACCTTTGTTTGGCTTTTTTAGTATTCAAGTTATGTCAAAACTGATTTATTACCTTGTCATTGTTGGTTTATTTGCTTTTGGGATATCAATTGTTTCCAAAATATTTTATTTGTAATAACCTGAAATATATAAATAACATCTATTAATTTAAGTATATGGTGAGTGGTTCGCACTAGGTATTAAGGTGTATTATACCCACTGTCCATTATAAGTGGAATGGGCCACTTCTGGAGGACAGAGTTTCGGTACTACAAGTGCAACATGGATGTTTTGAGGTATTACAATATCTCTAACTACCCTGTAGGGGAATAAAGTAATGTTGTAAGCATATGCCTATGCTTGAAAGGTTGAACTTGAACATCACCATACATCATATTTATAATTAACATTCCTACCTCGACACCATCACAATCAAATTCATTGAAATCTACTTCAAACCATTGTGTCTCGAGAAGATGGTGGTTGTTCCACCTCCAGTTTTTGATGTTTCACGGCGATAGATGACAACTCTTTTTTGTATTCAATTTAGTGACTTCCACTGATTCATCAATTGTTTTTGTCTTTGTCCTTATATTTGTGATTAAATTTTTGATTAAATAATGTGGTCATTTTTTTGAGATGAGGTACTTATTAAAATGTTTACTTCTCTGTTATATCGCTCCAAGCCTTCATTTTCTCCTTATTATTTCGTTTAAAACTCAATTATTGATAAGGGTCTAGAATATTTTAAAAAGTTGCTGTAACAAACGCAATAAACAAAAGCAATGAATAGGTTCAGTTTCAGTTTTCACTCTCGAAAAATACGGATAGTTAACCTCAATTGTATTGAAGCACTCAGGAAGGTTAGCACAGTTTTTTCACAAATATTTTATATTATTTCACAAATATTTTGTATAATGAAAATAACTAGGTATATAATTATTAATTTTAAACAATAATTAAAACTCCTATATTTGTTTAAAGGTAAATGTATTGTCAGATTCAATGTCATGGTCATTCAAAATTCTTGTTAGCTGTAGCTAGAATGGTAAGTGTCAGCATATTCTATTCTTTACTTGATGTCTTATTCCCATCTCGTCGCGAGCTTATCAAGCAATTGGTCATAGGTAAGTAATTTCACTCTCATCAATTTTTCATAGCGCTTCAACTTCATTTTACGAAAAGTTGTCACGACACTTTTTTGCTATTTGCTATTGTAATACACCGGTTCTCGTCCGATCACCGAAGTTAAGCAACGTCGGGCGAGGTCAGTACTTGGATGGGTGACCGCCTGAGAACACCTCGTGATGTTGGCTTTTTTTTTGTAGGGATAAGAAATGAAAATTATTTTTGGAATCACTTAACTAAATTAGTCTTGTTGGAACGAAGTTATCGAGCGTTGCGAAAGGGGGCTAGACGGAATAAATTAAGACCAAAAGTTGTAACGACACTTTTTGCTATAGTTGTTATATTTTACATTTTCGATTTAGCTATCGCCAACGTCCATACCACGTTGAATACACCGGTTCTCGTCCGATCACCGAAGTTAAGCAACGTCGGGCGAGGTCAGTACTTGGATGGGTGACCGCCTGGGAACACCTCGTGATGTTGGCTTTTTTTTCGTCGTAAGATTGGTGTCGAGAAAATCTATCATACTGTTATGATACCAATTGACATATAAATTAATCGAAAGGAATTTCGTTCCATCCGGGTGTCCCTTGACACCTCTAAAGTTTTTTTTTATAGAACGGGGGGCAAACGGGCAGAAGGCACACCTGATGTTAAGTGATACCGCCGCCGCCCATGGACACTCTCAATGCCAGAGGGCTCGCGAGTGCGTTGCCGGCCTTTTAAGAATTGGTACACTCTTTTCTTGAAGTAGATACATATATGTACATAGCAAAGACATTTACAAACTGAGTGATAGGTATAATCTTTTTTTATTATTTTTTAGTTCGCAGTTACTTTTACCGTTATCGGGAAAGATTGACTGACACTTGCGATTGACATAAAAATATAATGTATGACGGCATTTACGAATAACCTTGAATATTTAGATTCGATTCCCAGTGAGATTATTTAGTGTTCTATGAGGATCAAATAATATAGCTATTTCTATCTTTTTATTTTATATCTATTTCATTCATAAGATCTATCCCATATTGCATTTTACAACAAACTAATTATATTTGAAAATTGTAAAAAATAAGTTCCTGATATAAATTTCATAGCAACAACTCAAACTCAAAATAACTTTATTCATAATATAGGTAACCAAGTACACTTATTTACTAGCAGTTCGCAAGTCAAGGACGTAGAGCGAGAAAGAAGAACTGGCAAGAAACTCTCCGCCATTCTTTTTAATCGCCAAGTTTTGAGTCATACAAATTGTTTGAACTGGAGCAAATAAATCCCAAGGATTACGATCATTCCAATAATCGTCTAATTTATAATTAAAAATTATATCAGAGCATTTATCAGCAATGATTTACTAAATACGACGTAGTTAAAAAAATTTACTACGTACGAATGTAGTTAAAATATTGAAACCAGAAATAATTAAATTTTCAAACAACCTGCAATGTCAGATCCATTAACACCTTATACTGCGGCTTATCGCCGATGCAGTAGCGGCCCTTTTTCCCATGCCACCATTTAGACCCGGACTTTGTTTCTTCCATCAAAAACGGACGCAAATAACGGTCCGCGGGCGCTTTTTTGAACCCATTGTATCGGTATTGGAACGAACCAATCCATGGCATGTCTTCATAATAAGCGGTTTGGTATCTAAAATAATTAATTATACTTGTGACGTCACAAAACCTATAATTGTGACGTCATAAAACATTGTTATGTTCAACTACAACACTTACCCATTCTGCTTAACAGTATTAAATATGAACAAATCAGGGTCCAAATGAATGTCCTTGGAGAATGTTTGCCTAGCCCTAGGGTGTTGCCATTCATGCTTTCCCGATAAAATGGGGAAAAGAGCGTCAGGAGTGCCATCTCCAACTATATTGTATCTGTGAATGACAATTTTTTATTTTTAACACGGTATATGCTATTTCCACCTCTGCTTGTAACAACGACCAGTTTTAAGGCAGTTTCTGCCGCCCACCACCACTATGTGGAACCAGCTGCCCACTGAAGTATTTCCGAACCAATTCGGCTTAGGATCCTTCAAGAAAAGATCGTATCTATTCTGAAAAGGCCGGCAACGCCCTCGCGAGCCCTCTGACATGGAGAGTGTCCATGGGCGGCGGCGGTATCACTTAACATCAGGTGAGACCTTCTGTCCAACTGCCCCCTGTTCTATAAAAAAGCGCTATCGGAATGGGTACCCAACAGTAGCTCTGCCATATTTGTTATATATAAAAGTTCCCAGACAAATATTTCGTACAAATACTTGAAACAACATTACTATCTCTTTTCATCACAGCGTAAACACAATATGTCAGAAAAGGACAAAAGATTACAATCATATTAATGTTTATGAATACTCACCCATTCAGTATAACTGCATCAAGCTCTTCAACCAAGACCTTATGACTTTTAGGCAGCTTACGCACGATGCCGTTGTATGAAGCCGAATCGAAGCCTAGTATGAGAACATTAAGGCTGTCTGGCGAGATGTCCGTAGATGTTAGCATTGGGCGAATACCAGCTTTATATCCTTGCCATTTACGAGATAGCAGGTTAAAACTGGAATAGAGAAATGGGAATTTTAAATAATTGTGTAAACATTTTAATAGCGAAATGGGCATTTTAAATAATGGTGTAGACATTGTAATAGAGAAATGGGAATTTTAAATACATAATTGTGTAGACATTGTAATAGAGAAATGGGAATTTTAAATACATAATTGTGTAGACATTGTATTAGAGAAATGGGTGTTTTAAATAATTGTGTAGATATTGTAAAAGGGAAATGGGCGTTTTAAATAATTGTTCAGAAACTGAAATAGAGAAATGGGCATTTTAAATAATTGTGTAGACATTGTAATAGAGAAATGTGCATTTTAAATAATTGTGTAGACATTGTATTAGAGAAATGGGAATTTTAAATAGTTGTGTAAACATTTTAATAGCGAAATGGGCATTTTAAATAATTGTGTAGACATTGTAATAGAGAAATGGGAATTATAATAATTGTGTAGACATTGTAATAGAGAAATGGGCATTTTAAATAATTGTGTAGAATTGTAGTGGGCGTTTTAAATAATTGTGTAGATATTGTAATAGGGAAATGGGCGTAATAAATAATTGTTCAGAAACTGTAATAGAGAAATGGGCGTTTTAAATTATTGTGTAGAAAATGGAATAATACATTTTTTAATTAATTAGCGTTTAGAAATCCACAGAGTTTAGGATGTATATCAAAATTATTGTCACTTACCCTAAGACTGGAGACTCAGCGCTAAGTATGACTTCCGTAAGTCAAATGCAATAAATCATACTTAGTGTGTCTCGACTATAAAACTTACTCTAGACAAAAAAAAACGTTTCTATGCAATAGTTAATACAATGCCATCAAAAACACAACTTGTAAAACCAAGTCTCGCAAATCTGTTCTGCAACCGTAAAAAGTTTGAGATCCATGTAGGTTAATTTACTTAGTCCCTTAATTTATTTATTATATTAAGTTAGATTGTTTAACTCCGTGCCCCAGATCTACATGCATAACATTTCAAAATTTTCAATGCGTTTTAACTATCAAGGATATTCTAAATTAAATGATATGTAATTATACAATTTCTAATCAGCTCCTGCGACTTCGCACTCTTTATTGCGTTAAACTATACACAACTTTGCTATACAATTTTTAACAGGCAACTATTAATTCTATAGACATCAGTTAAAAAACCTTGATGTTGCTCCGAGGTAAAATGTATTTGTATAAAACTGTGAAGGATCCATAGTCAATACGGTAGCTAAGATTTATCAAACGCCTGTTAAAAATTACACCGCAACGCGTCTCTACTTTAAGGCAATTAACATAAGAATACATTTTTATATGACGCAATGGGAGGAAAATACTGTCAAAGAGGACAGGGAAATGGAGAACTAAGCACAATAACGAGAAAGCACGACCCGATTAATAAAAATAGGACCTGCAGATAAATTGATAAAAATGGTGGAATAAGTTATTTTGTTGGCGTCAGCCATTTAAATTCAAGATAGAGTCTAATTTGTTAGAGCTTCTGCTTGATTCGACCACTCAATCGTCGGACGTCAACCGACGTCGGACTCAAGGATGTCGAACAGCAGACATCTGTACGCCTTACGAGTGTCAATTAATGATTACTTTATTATGACGTCTTTAAGTATCAAGTGATTAAAGCGCTAATAAATAACTTGTAATAATAATATACCTACTAAATAACTATCGGCATTAAACAGTCGCTAATTTATTAGTCAAATAAACCACTAATATCAACGGTTTTGAACTGATTTGACATTGACGTTATAAGCTCTGCGACATAATGACAACGGCAGCTGACAGAAACACCAATACACAAAAAGTAGATAATTACTAGAAAACGTATACATAGTTTCATAATACTCACCCTTTCTTATCATATCCAAAACAAGACACTTTAAAATAATCGGTTTGATTCAATATGTATTTTTCATCGTTGAACAACTTCACACCATCTGCGATTACGTATGTGTGATCATCGACATATATTATATCTTTGTATGTACAAGATATGTCCTTCACAGTGTCGAGTATTTCTTTGGTAACATAGCATTCGGACATCTGGAAAATTTATGACAACATTCGCGTCATTGTGTAATAAGAATATAAAGACCGGCAATGTTATTATTATCAGGAAATGTTATGATATAATCGAGTCAATCAATTGTTGATTTTTATTGTGGCTTTGGTGGATAATTGAGATTTCTTCTATTACTTTTAAGAATCATAATTTAATTTGTTTTGTTATTATTTAATTGTTTCGTAGTTTGGTATCTTTACTTAACGAATATGACAATTCGAAGCAGAGCAAATGCCTCGAGTGGGGTCGAGGCCGACATCTTGACTTGAGTTGTGACAGTGCACAGGAACGCAGAACACTGGACAGTACAGATTGAGTATACAGTGGAAATGTTATGATATAATCGAGTCAATCAATTGTTGATTTTTATTGTGGCTTTGGTGGATAATTGAGATTTCTTCTATTACTTTTAAGAATCATAATTTAATTTGTTTTATTATTATTTAATTGTTTCGTAGTTTGGTATCTTTACTTAACGAATATGACAATTCGAAGCACAGCAAATGCCTCGAGTGGGGTCGAGGCCGACATCTTGACTTGAGTTGTGACAGTGCACAGGAACGCAGAACACTGGACAGTACAGATTGAGTATACAGTGGAGAATTGTGGTGATTAGGCGTTGGACCGAGTTGGGTCCAGTAGGTTGGTGCTTTGAACCCGCTGCTTATAATTTAAGCTAGACTTATTGGTGTCAAAAGAAATCAATCTAAACAGTACACCATTGCTCTGAAATTTTTGTAGGCTCAGGATTTCCGGATTATATGCGCAATGCAATTTTACTATGAACCACTATATTAGTTAAATTATAGTATAAATATTGCTAGGTAGCGTGAGTCATTAAAAAACTTTGCCCTATATTATTATAATGCTCGAATTTTAGAACGTCAAACATAAATATAGTTTCACCTATCACCTGAATCTAGTTAGCACTGCGTACAAGTTTTTGGAGTTGCGCTCGCTCATATTATAATCTCTGATTTCATATAGATTTTTTTTTTACAATCAGTCAAGTCCAAAGTCAAGTTGTCAGTCAATTAGCTTAGCAAGCAAATGCAAAAATATAATTTAAAACAGTTAAATTGTTAATTAACAGGTATGTCAAAACTTACATTACTATTTTATTACGATAATGTCATGAGAAAACTCATTTGATTTTTTTTAAAATAGTGTAGTACTACTGTGAATTGAATAACGTTTTTGGTCATTTCTTATATTTCCAGGTCTAACTACTAATACTAACATTGCACACAACCCAGTCTTTGCCCTTACAAACAATTTTAGGGAAATCTCGATTGAATTTCATGGCAACATCTGAAAACGGATCTACTTTCGGAAATGTACAGCCGATATCGGAGGAAGATTCTTCAAAAACATGAAACCTGTTTAATTAAATAATATTAATAGAAAGAATATTTATTAGTTCAGAGTAATTTAAACGTATATACCTTACATATAATTTTTATTTAATTAATTATAAATTTAAAGATACCTATACGATGGCACAACTGAGTTCAATGACCAGTTGTAAGAATAAAAAAAAGTACCAGATATCATATATATGTAGATCAGTGGTATTTTATGATATTTACTAAGTGACCGTTAAAATAAAAAAAAACTTTGGCCGCCCGAACAGGGACTTGAACCCTGGACCCTTGGATTAAAAGTCCAATGCTCTACCGACTGAGCTATCCGGGCCTTGTTGAACATTATGAAAAAGTGCTATAAGACACACATAATCACTAGTCAAATTTTATACTTTTAAAGAATTAGATTTTTTAATTTTTCTATTATTAATGAGCCCTTGAGACTTTATTATGTTTTGATGTCTCATAGCACCAAGGAAGGTCGAAGGCATTTTGTTTATTCATTTACAAGCAATCAAACATTTAATATAGAAGTACAAATTACTTTTAAATTATCTATAAAATAATAAAAAAGAAAATTTAATATATGTCATATATCAACAGGCTATTGGATAAAAAAGATAGTCAAATCCAAGCAAGCAATGCAAGTCTGGAATCAAATTAGTGCATAGACATTCATATACCTTAGTATATCATAGTTAAAACACAGACTATACTTACGGGTTATTTCTTAACATGTCATCATCCAACTTCCTATACATAAGAATATAGAAACCAGTCATTACAAAAGTAATCAGTATGAGGATTGTCAGCATTTGAAACTTTTTAGTACAACTTTGAAACCATCTCATTACTTTAGATATCTGAAATTGTGTTTATTATGTTAAAGTTATATAGGCTAAAGTCAGTCAAACCATACTATGTTGTCTTCTTAGAAAATTTCACAATATTGTAGGACAAACTGTTTAGCAAAATGATAATAAAATAGACAATCAACCCAGCACACAATTTTTCCAATGTTTCAAAAACTGTTTTGTAAACTTTAAAGTATTATCTTAACACTTCAACAGATTTATGTAACCTCTTTAGATAAATAATCATACACTTGAATTAAGCCTTAGATATTCCAAATATGTTGTGGAGATAAGTGTAAGTCTATTACTATAAAATAAAAAAAGTAAACATACAGAATTAAATCATTTACATATTACAGCATTGTAACAATTTTTTTGTATTTTTTAATGTGTTTAGTTTAAATTATTTAGAGAAGCCTAATTTTTTCTATATATATATTATTCTATATGATTAACCTAGGTTATGACATCCACTCTTAACATAGTTTACTAAAATTTATAATATGTACATATTATATTTATATTGAAAATCTGTTGCAAGTTATATAAAATCACAAGAAACTATATTTAGTAATTAAACATTGTATTTTATAAACAAGGACCATGTACTAAAAGGGAAGATTAAAGGCCTAACTTTAATAAATTTATCATAATTATTTTAGTAGTTAAAATAGTAGTAACAAATAAATCCTAAAGTTATCGAAAAAGAATAACCGTAACGAAATTCTAAAATCTATGTTAAAAATTGATAATTGAGAATATTAAATGTTATCTCATTAAAAATAAATAATTTACCAAGTATGTAGTGATTAGTGTAATACATACTTTCAAAATTAAAAAAATAATCTTCCATTTTAGGTCCTTAGCGTCCTCCATGTTGTTATTCATTTTGCCATAAAAATTAAAAACTTAAAACAAACTGGCTTAGAGATAGCACAGAATCTATGCTAGAAAGTAATGAGTACTAATTAATACTCGTATATAGTGAATTATGACTCGTCTTCAGTTTTAAATTATTAGCGGGGGGCGACGACAAGGAAACGGCGCACGACGGGAAATCGCGCGTTGGGCGGTTGGTTTTAAAGTTTTGTTTAAACAAATAACGTTCAAATTTCTGACGTTTTTTTTTCGAAAAAATAATTGCCATTAGTCTAATGTTTAACGAACACAAAGGGAAAAAATGGTTCTTTACATAATATTAGTTTAAGCCCTTTTCAAATATGTATTGAATTTTTTTGCAACATATTTTTTATGGTTAATTGTTAATGAGATGATATGAATATGTTAAGGTTATTACTTATTAATATTATTTTTAATCTAAAGTCTAAATATTGTTATAAAAGATATATTCAAAAATACAAATAATATTAACATGTATTTTTAATGGTATGTTACGATAAATAAAATGTTTGCAATTATTTAGAATACGAAGAAAAATAACGCACAATGTGACTCGCAAACTTATTTGTTCTGAATTACATAATCATATTGAGACTGAATTAATTAATTTAATATTTATTAATTAACGATTATATGTAATAGTTAAATGAGATAATTTTATACATCGGATATTGTTTGCACTTTTTATAGTTTTTTCTTGCATATCTAATTCGCCATTAAATTCTAGAAATCAACGTTTCTTTTTTATCTTTCATGACTAAAGCACGTTCGCTACGAAGCTCTAACTTAGAGATAAAATCTTGTTAGTACATCAAAATTACTTGATTAATATCCGCTATACGAACTTAAATCTTCGAAACAAGGTATTTCACTTAATTTTAATTTAACTAAGTAATCAGCTACCGCGTAAAGCGGTTCATTTCTCTTGTTAAACGTCAAACCCTTTAATCCAGCTGTATTAGATACTTTATCATAAACATATTTGTATTTGTTATACATGTATACTCCTTTACTTGTGCAAATGTACGGCCTATGATATATATCAGTGGTTAAATAATCAACTGTGTACATTTCATGTGAGTTTATAGCTCTAGTTCCTAATTTAACCCTAAATAACTTCTTATCTATAGTAAAAAATATATTGTCGTCATTATCTATAACAAATTTATCCACTTTAACTCCACGCAATTCTCGAACTAAAGTGGCATATCCATCTTCGAACTTGTATGCTTCTCTATTCCAATTTGTAAAGTATAGCGCGTCTCTAAAATATAGACTTCTTATATCATCTTGTATCGGAAGTCTCTCTACTAACTTTTGATCATTTATTTTAAAAAGACCATCTGCACCACCGACGTATACTTTACCGTAGAATTGATCTATAGTAATTGCAGTTGCATTACGAATACCATGTATGACGTCTGCTTTCTTTGTAGCGATGTCCAGATAGCCCAAGACTTTTGAAGGTACTTCAGATAAAGTTTCGTATGTGAAATACACATTATTGTCATTTCTGTTTAAAGCTATATCATGTAGATGGTTTATACCTTCTTTGATAATATCAACGTTGAAATATTTTTGGTCGAAGTCAATTCCACGACATCTCTTGTCAGCGAAGGCACAATTAATTAACGAAATAATTAGGAAGACCTTCATTGTTCTGGAAAATTTTAGAGAAACAATTAGACAAAAAATAAACTGATAAACAGATAAATGTATTCCTAAAACAGTTTACAATACAATAACAATAGATAATGGTATTTAGTCGTGCGTAAAAATCTATAGTACTCTATGCGGTCACTTGAGTATATAATATGCCATTTCATTCACGTTCGTAGTAACCATACTACTTATATTTTCATAATCACTATTTAACCAGCTCCAGCTTATATAATAACATTGAATTACAAGATACCAAATAAACTTTCTATTTTAACTTACAACTCTTTACAAACAAATAATATATTAAGTACTCAGGTAAGGTGTTAGTTTATTTATTTAAGAAATTTTAAGTAACATATTTCTTTTTATTATTTTAAAATAATGTAATGTTAATACTGTCCAAGCAAGATTTATATTTAAAAATAGTTTTGTGCTAAAAAGGGAAAACAAAACTGTTTTTGTTCATTTATAAATTTTAAATAATTTCGAACTAACCTTGATTCCCAAGGCAAAATGCTACTAGCACGATATTTGCAGACAACAGACACTACGTAACTGCCAGTAAATAAAGTATGTTCATGTTATTTGTTTGTGAGACATAAAATTAAATGCCAATTTGACCTTTTGGCACTCAAATTTCCGGTCGAGTTTACAGATTATTTCAAATATAACTTTTGGAAAGTAGTAGGTATGTAACGAACAATACAAGTAAAATTTATTATAATATTATGTACATATCGAACTAAGAGTACGAACACAAAGACACAGTAGTTTAGATTAGAAGCACATACATCTAACCTACTAGTCTATTAGAAAAACCAATGGAATAACATTTTTTGACAAACTATTCTTGTATATATATATATATATATATAAGCTTTTAATGTTATTTGAGTTCAAGACGAGTCAACTTTATAAATGAGCTTTAATTGATTTTCTCCAGTCGCTGTACAAATCGTGAGATGGCTTTTGAGTTAAGTGGAAAAATTCTCGCACACAACAAAGCCATGTGTTTCTCGTTTTTAAATGTGAACGACATCGGTGACATCAAAGTAGGCATGGACAATATGTAAAAGCAAAAATAAAAAATCAGACGCTTCGAAATATTTGGCAAAACATCTGCTAATCACATGGCAACACTGTACAAAAATTTTGATAGTCCACTACTGTACTTGGTCTGTGAATTGAACATAAGTCAACTCTTAACAGTGTACTTTAATCTTTATAGTCAATTGTAGTATTTGATTAGAGGGGTTGACTGTGTGTGATTAACTGATAAAGGAAAACAATAATAAGTTTAAATATTAATTATAAAAAAATAAAGTATAAATTGCAATTATTTAATAGTTTAGAAGATAGCTATAGTGTTGTGTTGCTAATTTACTAATTTCCGTTGTATCAATATTACTCTGGTGTAAAGTGCTGTCGAAAAGCCGCAGGAAGTCTGTAAGTAAACATATTTTTAGTCTTGATATTTACTAGTCTGCCTGTATATTTGTTAAATTTTATTGAGATATCCATTAATAACTGCAACCTTTATCATCTAAAAATAAACAAATATGTTGCACAGCAGAGTCAATGACCAAATATAATAATATACAATTTAATGAGTTGATTGTTCCTTAATTTTCTTAAGTTTTTATTAATTTGATTATGTTTAGTTAATTTAATATAAAAATTGCAAGATTCAATACTTACCTTTTATTTAAGGAGATTTAAGGAACTTATTACTTATAAGCAACTCTGCTATAAGACTGTCCATGCTATAATGACAGAAAATATGATAGAGTTGACTAACTAATATTAAGGTCTGGCCAGTGCAATATATTATTCTATTCCTTGAAATATATAGGCTTAATTTTCAGCTAATCTACATTTTAGTGAAAGTAATATGAAAGTGTACCATGTGTGCTAGGTTATCTTATCTAAACTTTTCACTCCTATCGGTTTTTTAATTAGTTTAAATTACTTATTACAACATAAATGTTTTAAAAAAATGGTTGCTAAGGTATTTTAGTATGCCATTTTTACATTTAACATACAGTTTGATTCTTATATAAAATGATGTGTTTCTTTTGGCTCTACTCACTTATTGCTACACTAACAATTACAAAAAAGCAAGAATATCTATAAAACAGTCCCTTATAATTAAACTTTTAAAAACTTAGCTATTTAGAGATATTAACATTATACTGACAACAGTCACTTATCTATAAACCCCAAATAAAAATCAATACCCACACATGTTTATTTGTATTACATTATATATATATATATATATATATATATATATATATAAACGTATATATATATATTTGATATATAACATAATATATATATACGTTTGATAATAATACCAAATCAAAACCTTGATAAGATATCATTTTTATCTAATTTCTTATGAAACTTATTAAAGTTAAACTTCGTTAGTGGGTATCTACAGCCACAAGTATGAAAAAATCTATTTTTGATTAAAGGAAACCCTAATAAAATATAATTATAAATCATAATCAGGCCATAATTTTATAAATCAATAGATGATGCTAGATCTACTGCCAAAGTTGAATTATTTCCTAATAATATTTTAATATATAGGATAAAGACGGTCTGTGTATAATTAATTTATATAAAAATTTTCTGTTACCAGGCTGAAGAAGTGTTGTAAGAACTGAGTCTAAACATAAAATTCATAGTACTTTATCATCTGCTATCTCAAAAATGATATTATCTATGATTGAATGTATACATAAACAATAAAACCTGATGTTTTTACACACTATTTGCAACATTTTAATTGACTGCTCTGACTTATTATCACTTTTACTATTTTACACCCCTTTTTCATACAATACAAGACAAACCAACTATTTCAAATTCCTTGGTCAAACACAAACTACACGCAGTCATGTATTGTATAACTTCTGATTATAACGCAAATAGATATATTTCATGTAACTAAAAAATACTTAAAAAATTATATAAAAAACTCTGGAATCTCTTATTAATGATGGGTTTGTTTTTCTCCCTTTTTATTAAATATATATATAATTATCAATGCATCTTAGATTTTATTATAAATGTATTTATAATATGTTTATGTTTGAATGTGTATTCCGTTTTGGGCTTTTGTGTATAAAGTAATTATTTGGATATTGTATAATGAGAGCTGTAGGAATACTAGCAAATAAATAAATTTGGTTGTTGTACATATATGAATTCGTTTTTTTTCTCTTAACTTAATCTAATACAGACACTGTGCTTCACGCACCTCTAAAGGCTTTGTTGATGTAAATCCGCAACCAAGTAATTTTTAAGGCTCAGGCTTTCGAAGTTTTATAAGTGGGGCGATTTCCTAAATCGTCGAAGTTATGCCACGAGTATAGCCAGACGTAGGCACTATCTTCAACAGTTACAATGCAGTGATTTGTTTCATAGCAATTAAAATGTATTATTTCGCTTATATTCTGTTGTTGTACGCGAGTGGTAAATACAGAGTAAAAATAAAATCCTCTATTATTTAAAGTTTAAATAATAGAGGATTAGAGGATTTTATTTTTACTCTTTTTACAATTTTTAAATTTTAAAGCACCCAATGACACAGGAACCGTACTTAAGGATTAAGGAGAAGATATAACTCTGCTACCATTTTTAATTGCGACACACAGATCAGACACATGGTGTGTCTTGTATATATGTAACATATGAATTAATACATATGATAAAAGATAACATGACCACTGTCTAATCGTTAGATATGACTTGTCAAAAATAATCAACGCACGCGCTGATACGTTTCATTTTTAACGAAAGTATAAAATTAAAAGGTTGTTTTATACTTTTATCGGACATTATGTTTTTATAGCATTTTTATAGATCTTTTTATTTGTTTTTCAGATGAACTACGGTATGCCGAAAGTATGGTATCGGTCGAGGCGAAATCAAGTGGTAATATTAGTTGTGATTGTGTTCTCTTTACTATATTATGTTTCATTAAATAACACTTTAAGGGAACCAAATCTTGATCTTACGAGAAGGTAAGTGTTTTTTAATATTATTGGATATAGTGGATTTGAGTTATTTTAGAAATACATATGTAGTACGGGTACCACACATCTAAACATAACAACTGTTAGAAAATATGTCGGAGCAATGGCGTTATTTATTTACTCTTCGTTGCATTACAATATAAAAATTTAACATAATTAAATGTAAAGGAGGGCAGCAGGCGGCCTTATCGCTTTTGAGCGATCTCTTCCAGGCAACCACTGTAAGAAAAAAAATGTATTAAATTAGATATTAGCGTTATTGTCAGTTGTCATTTTCATTATATGTCACAGAGCTCATAAATTAACAAAGTCAATGTCCAATAAGTTTAAAACCGTTAATACTTGTGGTTTATTTGAACGCCCTTAAAGAGGACCCGAAATTTAATCTCGTATGCTACTCACTCCGTCATTTACTATGGCTTAGAAAAGTGTAGTATCTATTCAAGAGTCATTGCACTTTTTCCTCAAACCAAGGAAAACCCATTTTATAACAAATCATTTATATTGTAGGTAACAAAGGCTTGTTGAATATTAGTCAGTCGTGCAATTTATTCTACTATATCGGAACTAAAAACGGCGATCCTTTGTAGGAGATTTTTAAAGTATATAATGCAATTCTTTTTCATTTTAATATCATATCGTATGTAGATTGTAGGCTGAGACCATTTATTACTGAAACTTTAGTATTTAAATTTAATAGTTTACAAGTCTCCCTTCTTACGTGAAATATCCTTTTTTTATATACCAAAGAATTAAGAAACACGGGAATCGCTACACATATGAACTCACTGACGGTATACGAGAAATATGTGTCGTACATATCTTTTAGTGCAACTGGTAAAAGTTGTTATCTGACAATACTACTTGCAAGTGATGGATAACACCAAATTAATTTTATTAAATAGATAATACATATTTAATAATTACTGTTCTATACAACAATCTACAACAATCGACGCTGTGGGTCTTGGGGGCTTAGACAAGATGCCTTAACAGTAGGGTATGTAGAAAGTCGAAAACTTAATTTGTATGAAAATGACAGCTCGTGTCGACAAATTTTTCTACATACACTACTGTTAAGGCATCTTGTCTAAAACCCTTATTAAAAAAACCCATTGATTTGACATACGAAGTCGTAGTTAGCGCTAAATCGCCATTTTGAATTTTACCTTATGGTCACAGGTAAACGCAATATTAAAAGCAGGATTTTACGTTTGTAATGCATGCAAAATTATGAATACGTAGTTTATAAACATTTTTATGCTATATTTCTGTTCTAATAAGATAGGACTTAATAAAATAATAAGACTTTTGTGTGAAAATACGCCATACTTTCATTAGGTATAGCTTGCGAATTCGAAGAATTATAAACTAACGCTTATACGAGGGAGGTCAAAAGTTCGTGGAATGAAAGGGTTTTAGTAAAAAATGAAACAGTAAATTTATTTTTCCTTTTCAATATAATCACCCTTAAGCTGAATACATTTATTAGATCTATGAATTAATTTTTTCTAAACCATCGTAAAAATATTTTTTATCTTTTCCCTCAAAATGAGCCAAAATTGCCTTCCTTTACCTCATTGTCGTCGGAAAATTTCCTTCCCCTTAAGTCTTTTTTTAAATTGGGGAACAAATAAAAATCACTTGGGGCCAGATCTGGACTATAGGGTGGGTGGACTAGTGATTCGAAGCCATGCGTGTGTAGAGCAGCCATTGCAACTTTGCTTTGTGAACCGGCGTTGTCTGCAAGAGCAACACACCCTTGGTCAATTTTTCCCCGACGTTTTTCTTTGATGGCATCCTTTTTTTCTAGGTTGCGTAGTATTCTCCGGTTGTCCTGCCCTTTTCTTTAAATCAATCAGTATTATCCCTCAAATCCCAAAACCCATCAACTTTCCAGCCGACTCCGACATTTGAATTTCTTTGGCGTGGTGTCCCCTTTTATGCCATTGCATGGACTCTTGTTTGGACTCAGGCTGAAGTGATGAATCCATGTTTCATCGCCGGTACAATTCGCTCCAAAATCGATCCAGGATCGTCGTACACAACTCAAAAATGTTTTGACGTTCGCGCGTGCTTTTTTGAAGCGGCGTGAGCATTCTCGGTACCCATCTTGCACTGACTTTTGTCATACCCAGGTGTCATTAGGATTCTCAAATTTGGTATTGATACTCTAACTAACAGATAACTGTTTTTCTTCAAACGGGTGTCCTCAGTACAATTTTTTCCACTTTTTCGACGAGTTGATGTGGTGGCCTCAACTGGCCTTCCTGAGCGGGGGTCGTCTTCAATCGACTCCCGACCATGTTTAAAAAGACCATGCCATTTGTAAATATTGATTTACTAGGGCACTGTTCCCCGTAAACATTTCCATTTCATTTTTATGACAGCACGGTGTTCAATTTTCTCCATATTTCAGTTTTCTTCCGGATTGACGTGTTTAGCAGGCGAGTGTTCGTAAATGAATGACGCAAAGGGTGAAACTCCATTTATATACTAATTATGGTCCCCAATTAGTATGACACTAAGCGAGCGCCCCTATCCCCACTCCATCCCTCCATTCCACGAACTTTTGGACCTCCCCTCGTATATAAACAAAATCAAATAACAGTCTTTTGTCTCTTTCTGTCTTTGTTTACGCTGTGTTAAAAAAGAGATTCTGTAGTAAAGTTCAATTAGATATGGGTTGAATTTGAAGATATTTAAACAACCGTTCTTGTAGATACTAAAATCTACCCTCAAAATATATGAAAACCACGAGGTTTTAAAAAATATCAAGAGTTATTGTGATTATGGACCAGCTATATTAATGCAATTTTAAGCATTTTTTCCCTCAAAGGCCCGCCCCGCCACGCACACACTAAATTACTGCCCTTTTTGGGCTACCTTGTATGTTATAAAAAAAACATTGTGCTGATATACATATAAACAAAACAACCTGTTAAAGTATAATTTGTGAAAAACTAAACGGAAAGTTGTTTATCAGTATTAGGTTCTGCGGCATGTGGTGATACTGTTATTGATAAGCGGAATCGATTCTAATTATGGAATGTGGTCATAGCGGGCCGTTATAAATATTATTGAATACTGGAAATTTGATAAATGTTTTTATCTGATAAGAGTATTTTTTTGTGTGGTACCTGTATATTTTTAATGATGAAAGTAGATTAAGGCATGTTTTTTTTCACTATTATGGGCCAGGGCATTGAGCTGATGTTAGATTTTCTTTGTTTTATTAGCTACATGTTAAGATAATGCAAAACTAATACGCAGACTTGGAACACGTTTCAATATTCTTAAGATGTTGCTGAGAAAGAGTCGTAGGAATTTCCTGATTGTCTATGAAAATATTATGACACTATCTGGTTATAATATTCTTGAAGTCTTGTTGTATGTACAAAAAAAATAAGCGATTTATAACAAATGGTGACTTTCACCAGTATAATACTCTAAAGAGAACTAATCTAAGCGTATGACCAACCAACTCCAGAAGATAACCAAATGGAAATTATATTCGTTTTTAATACAAACTCCCAAGCGAAATTAGAGAATTATCACTGAATAAATTCAAAACTCTCGTTAAACGTAAATTAATCACTTTAATACAAGAGCTTCAAAATTATCGGGTATTTCCCGATAGGTTTCGTGTGCAAAAAATGAAGGAGTCAAGTTTTTCAGGTTAAAAACTTGACGACTTTATTTGTTGCAGGGAACCTTGAGGGAAATGCCAGATAATTTTGAAGCTCGTGAGGGGGATTATTTTCCGACCCAAATGTCGGCCAATAGAATTGCACCATGAGACGAAATGTACAGTTAACAAATAAGAATTTCATAATGAATAAAACAACTACTTAATACTTTTCTTGAAGCAACTACCAAGAAATTTTCAAAAATACATAAATACCATGTGGTTGTACCACGGACTCGAATGGTGCATTTGTGTTGGGTCGGAAAATAATCAATAAAGATTTTAAAAATTTTACGAATATTTGAATGATCCTAATCCTTTGAATGGATTTGCTTCAGTTCAAATAATTTGTAGGACTCAAAACTTGGCGATTAAAAAGAGTTCTTGCCAGTTCTTCTTGCCCGCTCTACGTCCTTGACTTGCGAACTGGTTGTAAGTGTAAATTTTGAATCAATTTAACATCTTTTCTGTTGACGTTCATAAGTGTACTTGTTTTTACCTATATGAATAAAGCTATTTTGAGTTTGAGTTATAGTTAGAATATTAATAATACTTTATGATTTAGAACTTAAAAAAAACACGTTCCAACTGGTATTAGGAATATCCTTATAATTAAAGTAAAGTTTTATTAAAATTCTCTTTATGTAAGAAATAAACGTTTAATTATGAAAACGCTGAGTTATATAGTGTACTAAAGCGTGTTTATATCCGATAAAGAAATTGTTTAAGAATATTCCGTAGATAAGAAATATCGTGCGAAAATCTTTGCATTTTTATGATCTAGATTATCGCTCAGAAGTTTTTTTTTAGTTGTGTCACTTTTTATTATTGATTTATTTATTCTTTATTATCTTTACATGCCTTATCTACATTATTATGTATTGTTTATGCCCTAGTTTTCACTTTTATCGCTTGAGTAGTTTAGTTGCTATTGTTTTTAGTTCTAGTGGTGGTGTTAAGCAAACTAACGTAGCTAAGTTGCCTGTCAAAGATGATTCAACCTATAATCTAGATGAGAGGTAATGATATGTGCAATATACATACTAACTACTAAGGGTGAAATTTATGAAGTGTAAGAGACTTAGCATAGATATAACATTTGCCTGAGCTGAAAATATAACAGGACACAAACGGGCAAGAGGTTTAGTGATGATGATCTGGTGTTTAGTGATATAGACATAGATAGAATATAGATAGATTAGATAGATAGAAATAGATAATATATATATATATAATATAATAAATATATATATATATATATATTTATATTTATAATATAATAAATATAGACTCACATTGCCAGAAAGCCGGCCTTGTAAGAAATCTAAATTCTTAGCATGTAATTTATGGCACGGCATGTAAATTATGCAACTGGATTTAGGGGGCGCTAAGGGGGGGGGGGGGGGGAGCATTTTCGACCTCATCCGTAAACGTTGGAGTCCCCATAAATAAGATTTAGTTAAGCTCTTACTACGCTTAATAAATTTCACTCTAAGAGACAAAATACACAAGATAATAGTGTTTGGACAAAGTTTAGTAAACAGTCGGTGGTAGGGCAGTCCGCGTCAATTTAGTTGATAATTTTTCTTATTTACAAGGTTATCCTACACAGAGAAAGATCCGGTATTTCCCCTATTTTCACAATAGGGATCTCGTCTGTGTCGATTATTTTGGTCAGATTTTGGATTAGTGTTCCTTTAATCCAAATAAAAAAGAATTTAAACTAAGGTTCACTTTGATAGTGTTTAGAAAAAGAATTGGAGGGTGTAGTGTGCAGTTTTACGATATTAAGTTAGACATTTGTCACTTTTGACAGTTGTTTGATTTGGTAAAAATCATATTAGTTCGCATAATCACGCCGATTTTCTTTTCGCACTGACTATGAACATGCTGTCATGTCAAAATACATGTATGTGTATTTTGTCTCTTGATGATGGGGTGTTTAGACTTGTTTTTGCCCTTTATATATAATTGCTTTTAAATTAAATTTTAGATTTATTGATTACAATAGCATGGTATGTTTTCTTAAAAGTATGCAATTTTCAAAATTACGCTTAGTCCCTCTATTTAAACACAATCGTTTTGAAATTTAGAATATTTCCCAAATATTGTTTTTATAATATAATCTAAGTCTTAGCATGCTCTTGCATTTTGTATCTTTGGACTTAACGCCAGGGTTCCATATACAAAATTTGTAAATGCTATAACTTTTAGAATTTTTTAAAAATATTTTATGTCCTGGTAATGAGACCTTTTAATCAAATTTATTCGAAATACAGATATATGTATCTATGGATAACAGAGGCTTTAAAGCAAACAGTTCAATCGAGTAGTTTTTGTATGAAAAACGTGAGCAGTTGTGCTCCGAGTGTTTTAAACTAAACAATGAACGAACTTTGCAACGACGAACGATTACATAAATAAATTGTTTGGATAATACGTTCGAACTTCGAACTCTTAATAGTACCTAGTATGTGAACTCAAAACTCTAAAATTTTGTGATGTCAAAGACTTGGAAACATTGAAGGTTCCGTTCAAAAATCGAGTCGTAGAAAACGGTTATCTTGTATATGGAGCCCGGGTGCATGATTATATGTATTTATCTTCGCATGATTTGTTCTAAGTGTATTTATTTTTGTTTTTTTTTTATTTCAGACAATCTGTGGCAGAGTGAGTATTTTTTGTTGTCAAAATATTTTTATTTCACTAAATTTTTATTATACATAATAGCGGAAGTTACAGAATTTAAATGATTTGAATCTCGTAATATTACAGAACATTTTCCTTTATGATTTTAATTTTTATAATCAAGTTTATGTGCACTATTTTTAGTGTAACTGTCAAGATCTCTATAGACATTTTATTGTACTCTGAGTTTATTGGTTGCAATTATACCTATATAATTAAATATAAGATATATATAAATTTTAAAAATATATATACTTTCATAATTAGTTCTTTAATGAACTGAACTGAAAATGTTATTTTAATAACATCTTGCTCATTCTGCATTCAATGAATAAATTTCAAACGTTTTGCCCTTTTAAATCATGACGTCACATTTCATACATTAAGACGTAACAAGTATTTGAATTATCTCTAATGGTAGATTAATAATAATAAAATGATTTAAGAAATCAGATAGCAGAAATACCTTTTTGATTCTACTGGATCTGAATCTCATAAAGTCTCACTGACTCATAAAGACTGTATCAACGTGATGAACTCAAACTACCAAAGTTTTAAATAGATAACGTGAAGTTGAAGCTGAAGTAAAGAAAGCTTTGGGTGTATAATTCTTTATTGTTGAAATATAATTATTGTTGAAGAGGTCGCAACAGTATTGCCAACTGCTGGGTACAGCTAAATGATCTGTTAACCCATAATGAGCGACTCAGTACGGCAGATTCATTAATTTATTAACAATTTTAATTTCAGGTATATAGAAAAAAGACTGGAGGACTCCTTGAGGGAGGATAAGAATTCGGGGTGTGAGATACCCAAGTTAGACCCCTTCGCACCGGAAGTGACTAAGTTCGATAAAGATCTACCTAAAATAGTTTGCTATGGCGTGGATTGGGTCAAATGTTATGTGAGTATATCACATATTGAAAAAAATAGATTTTTTTGGTTGTAATTTATTCATACGTGCTTGTGCACCTAATTAAATAACGAAAGTACTTATCTTTTTTTAACATAGCCTAAATACGATTCGACAGAAAGAGACGAAATACTACTTTCCGTTTATTAAAGAGATAAACCCGTACTTTTGGTTTATTTAGAAAACGATCGCATAGAGTATAAACAGATGGACACAATGACCCTCAAAGATGACATGGACAGTGTTACTTTAGAGTGTAGATGTTCATTGTGAAATGTGCTTTAACAAAGAAATAAAGTCGTAATTACTTTTAATATAATGTCCTAGACCCAAAATTGAGGACGTCTACCAGATAAGGACTATTTAACTGATTTAAAATACCTGTCAACATTTACATGATCCATACAGAGTGCGTAAATTAATATATTTGAAATAAAGTGTTGGCCTAGTAGCTTCAGCGTGCGAATCTCATCCCTGAGGTCGTATTTTCGAGCCCCAGCTCTGCACTCTGGAATTTCTGTCTATGCGCGCATTTAACATTCGCTCGAACGGTAAAGGAAAATATCGTAAGGAAACCGCTTGTCTTAGATGCAAAATGTTGACGGCGTGTATCAGGCACAGGAGGCTGATCACCGACTGCCTATTAGATTGACAAATGATCATGATATAGAAATCTGAGGCCCAGACCTAAAAAGGTTGTAGCGCCACTTATTCATTTTGTATTAAATTTTTAGTTAGACGAGTGCAAAGTAGTACCAGAGATATTGAGGACTACACGAGATATAATATGCACGTACAATGATATACTTTACGAAAGTGATGCTAAATACACAATAGGTCCGTCCATAGAGATACGTGGGGCTGATGTGTATCCGCTCATTAAGAGCGATCACGTGAAGGTTAAATGTACTGGAACGCATGAAAATAGGTAAGTTGTATTGTTAGTCTGATATATTTTATACATTAATAGTATGCGATAGAGGCTGTTCTGGGCTTTATAGTGAGTTATAAAATCGTCATTTAAACCCCTAGACATTGGAAATATCACAAGGCATATGGACATTTAGAAACGAGGCTTAGCACAAACTACGAATCCCATATGTCAAAATCCAATATATTTCTGACGTTTGGGAGTCGAACTAGCACATTTTATTTTTTTATTTGGCTATTGTATAGATTTTATCGCGGGCTTTAAGCGCGGCGACCGAGTCAAGTCATAATTCCGTAATGATAATAAACCTAACACGATGAATGACGTAATATAGGTGCGGCCAATACGCGTTAGAGCGGGACAGAACGCATACTGCGTATTCACATCGCTCTGACGAGATCGGTGACGTAGCGTAAGCGCGGCCGGTGCAGCCGGTACGCGTAAGAGTGAAACTGACTACGTCTGAGTCTGGTAGATTGGTAGATTGAATTATTATCAAAGAAAAAACTTGAATTAATATCAAAGAATAAAAAATACTGCATAAATAAATAATTATAATTGCATAAGTTTATAAAAAATGCTATGCAATATACTTTACCGCGGCAGTCCCCAAGTGCCACACGTTTTTTACTATATACTTTTACACAAGACTTCTTTACTTACACTTAATTTTTACTATTTTTTTTTCTACTATTATTATTACATTCTTTTTCTTTTTTTGCGTCTGAGGCGTGCTAAACTAGCTGTTGTGGTATCTGGCAGATTGACCAGCCCTGAGGAACGTGTCTGCTCCTTAGCATTATACTTAGCCAGGGCCTTAAAATGTACCTTATTCTTTTAAAGTGAAACTTCTGTAGGCGCATGAGGCCAAATGTTTTACGGATGAAACGCAATAATAATAATATTAGCGTCACGAAGATGTCCAGCGTTTTTGTCGAAGAAAAGGGAAAGAGCGATTGAGAGAGAGTGAGAAGGGCGAATTACCTTATAGAAATTATATTTTTGAAATTAAAATTTCGTAAAGAGAATTTATGAAATATTAGTATTTTATATGTTATGCAAAATAATTTATTGAAATCTCAAATGACGAATTTTTAATTAAAAATCCACGTGTTTTTATTATCGAAGAAATAAATTAAAAAAATATATAATTTGTATTAATTTTCGACACTTAATATTTGAATACAATTAAATTCATTAAATTCCTAACATATCTTCCTTTTTCCCTCCATCTAAGTCTCGGAAATATAAAGTTTTAGATTTGTATAAATATGAACAAGACTAAAAAATTAGTTTGCCAAAGAAGTTTCACTTCTGACATGTGGACTTTGTACGCACGCACTATTTTTCTTTCTTTTTTTTGTTGATTATTATTATTTTGTGTGTTTCGTTAGTAATAAATGTTAGTCTATGTCTAATAATTTCTTTAACAATATTGCTTTGTTTTAGCATTTTACCAAGCAAATGGCTGGGCCACGGTATAGGTTTCCGATCAACAGTCCACCCTAAAAGCCCGCCACCAGGTCGAGAGAACACGTATGATATTCTGTTCTTAGGATTCGATTCCACGGCAAAGAATGGATTCATAAGACGAATGCCGAAAAGCTATAAGGTCGTTAAGGAATTACTTGGAGCTACTGTATTGAATTCGTAAGTAAATCTGTAAACTTCAAAATAATATATTTTCTTTTATATTGAAGTGTTTTATGATTAGTACAGTTGGTGCGCCTAAACAATTGTTATGATTCATCGATGTGTGTGTTGAAATCTGTATTGTTGTTGAATTCCAGCTATAACATAGTTGGGGATGGAACACCGGCCGCTTTGTTCCCATTCTTAACTGGCAAGACCGAATTGGAGTTGCCAGATGTAAGAAAGAAAACGAAAAATAATGATAGTTTGGACAATATGCCGTTTATATTTTATAGGCTTAAGGATGATGGGTAAGATTCTTATATATATTTGATTAAGTTTGTAGTCAGTATAATGATAAATATCTAATTTTAATAATCAGTTATATGATATATCTAAACTTTTCTGACTATTTTTGGACGTAGGTATAGTCGAACTTCATTTAGAAGTTTTATTAAAACTTTAAGGGTTCAAATACTAACGGTCTTACTAATAAAGAATTATGCACATCGTATAAGCCTGTTATAAGAAAAATGTTACTAATAATTCCTGAATTGACACGTTTGATGTATACGGCTGTTATAACAAGTGTCTGGTTTGTATGAAGACTTGTACAATGCTTATACAACGCCTAGGCCTAGTTTAACGGGTGTATAGGACATAAATTGCGTTATTTGATCTGATTTCGCGTTTGACAGCATTTTTTGACTGTTTAGTTCAAGGAAAGATTTAAGTTAGTAGGTATTTGTGTTTGTTGAAAATAGATTTTATAGATCAAATGGAAGATTTAGATAACATTGATATGCAGCTAATACATACGATTGAAGATTTGCCGCCTCCAAGGAAAGTCAAAACATACCAAACTCGGTGCAATCCGTTATTACTTTCGGATGGCGATTTCAAAACAAAATACCGCTTTTCAAAGAAGTATGTTATGAAGATCTGTGACAGTGCGAGCTGATGTCGAAAAGAGTAATAGAGGTGGATGGTTTTCGATTTAGGTGTCTTCTTCATGGCTTCTCAGCGTCTTTAGAAAATGCCAAATTATATATAGTAGCACTGGCAATCCTCCACAATATTGCTATTGATATGAAAGAAGACCTGGATGTTACGTATGATGACACTGAGAATGCTCCAGAAGAACCAAGGCCAACCTAGACGCCCCCAAGCAATCAGGCTGGACAAGCTGCTAGAGCTGCTTTTATTGAAACATATTTTTAAAGCTGTTTTATTTACATAGGTGTGGATAGTTAGACGTGAAATAAATAAAAAGTTATATTTCATTTAAAACAGGGGTTTAATTTTTTTGATAAGTATATAATTATTCATTTAATTGCTGCTGTAATAGTTTGAGCCTTAGAAGATGCTCCTGTCTAGACCATTTGTGAGCTTCGGCAAGTTGCTTCTGTTTGAGCTCATGTGTTTCAGCCATTTGCCTTAGTTTGGTTTCATGCTCTTCCTGCAAACACTGGAACACTGCCGTGTTGCGGAGTTTGGCACTTTCCACTATTTGAGATGCCTAAAAATTTAAAGTATGATCGTTGAGGGCTTTTGAATGAAATAGTCCTTTTCTCTATCACATTGATACTAACCTCTCCCAACTTTTGTACTGCAGAACGTGGCTTTTTATGTAAAATTCCAGTCCTCTTTGTCTGAATATAATTGTTTTGGTTGCTAAAATAAATACAACTTACATTAGAATTATGACTTCTATCAGAATTATTAAGTCAAACGTCAATCAAACACGGCGGGTTGCCAGGGTAACAATAAATAAGGGTCGTTTAGTTATTCAACCAATACACATCGATTATTGGTCAAAGAGGTGTTTATGCCCTGTACAAGCTCTATTCACTGAATAACTATCACCTTGTTATAACTCATGCATAGTGATTTTTTATTAGTAAGACCGTAAGTTTATAGAACAAAGGGCTAATTTGATTCTAAACGTTACCCCCGCCACGATCACTGATGCTGCCAGAAGGCTCGCAAGCGCATTGCCCGCCTTTTAATGATGGGTACCTTCTTTTCTTGATGGAACAGAAGTCAGTGGTTCAGAAATGCTTTGGAAGGTATCTTGTTCGTTTCTTAGACGTTCTTTTAAAAAAATGGGAGCTATCATTCTTTACAACAATTTTGTCCTGCCAAAATCAACATTCAGCTTTCCAGCAGGTCTTGTTACGTGTCAAGATCAATTCAAAAAATTTGTTTGTTGTATTTTTAGTGACACGATAGAAACCTGATGATATTTCATAATGAGAGGTAGCAGTTCCTAATTTTCCTTTTTGTTATAATGCTAGGAAAAAGTTCGTAATGGTATTGATATTGAATAGTCCGGCAACGCACTTGCGAGCCCTCTGGTAATGTAAGTGTCTATGGGCGCCGGTATTCCTTTAGTGTCATGTGAGCCTCCTGCCCGTTTCGCCCTGTTACATGAGAAAATGTAAAAAAAATGACTTAAATTACGTGTTGCACTCTTCCCGTTAATAATCATAATAATTTTCAGCTATCGTACAGCCTATTTCGAAGATATGCCGTGGATTGGTACTTTTCAGTACCGTTTCAAAGGGTTTGTACGCCAGCCAGCCGATCACTATCTACGAGCGTTTTATTTAGAAGAATCTCAGAATGGAAAGAAATGGGCTAGCAAGCCCAGGAGATATTGTGTGGGAGACACTCCGCAGTTCGAATTGATGTTAAATATTACTGATCAGGTATGTGATTATTTTATGGCATGTAAATTTCTTCTATTAATTCTTTCTTCTTCTAAATTTATTAATTTATTAAAAAGACCTAAAACAACATGTTAGCTTAAAATATACAAGAAAATATGACATCACAAATTTTACAAACATACACAGACGTCAATTATATTAGAACATACAAAATTCAAACTAGCAAGAAAAAAATTAAACAACCACAAAATTAAAAAAAATAACAAACCTCATTGAGAGCGACACACAAAGTTACGGTAATATATATTTTGGTAGGGGCGCCCACGATGCTAAATGGGGATTTACTCGAGCGTCGTAGAGACCTATTGGGATGCAAAGCTTAGATAATAAGAAGAAAAAAATGTTATATGATAAATTCCTTTTCATCGGTGGGGGAAGCGGCTATAGATAGTTAAATATGTAAAAAAAACTGTTGCATGGACATCCTCGAGCGCGTCAGATATTGATAGCATCTATGCCCTACGTATTTTTAATAATGTACGTATGTTAATCTGATCGTTTGCATGATGCGGGTGGTTGTATTTAAGGGTTGAAAATGAAAAAAAAATAATTTTATCGAGCGCGTCAGATTTTCTAAGGAGTGTTAAGTGCACCAAAAAAAGCTCTCATTCACTAATCTGACGATTTCGATGGGACGCAAACCCACAGCCATTTTCATAATTTGCAAAAAAAATCGCAATTTTGAAATACTCAAGCGCGTCAGATTAAGATATATGTGGTTCATCTTTATGTTCTAAACGTACTGTCTCATAATCTGACGATTATCTAGAGGGATTCGCCTGATCTGACAAAAAAAATTTAGAAAAACGGTTCACCTAAAGGGCCATCCCTGCAACTTCCCGCTAATTCCATTCCTGGGCGCTTAAAATTGATATTTTGAGCTCGCTGAGTTCAAAGAAATAAATTTCTATGCATTTGAGCTCTCCCAGCTCGAAAGTCTGATAGAAGTTTTATAGAACACTATTTTTGGAATTTTCAAACCGCAATAACATTTGAATGGATCAAGCAATTTTCACGCGGTTGGCGGCATTCGACGCAGTTTTATCATCCTCATAAGTAATTTTGCAATTTTAATTGATCGAACCACAAATTTCGGAGTAATCCCGAATAAACACTTTTTCGGGTTTCTTTCGTTCACGATATCTCTCGAACGAATCAACCGCTTTTGACCAGCTTAGTGGCGATCAACGTGGTTTTTCAAGCTCAAAGGCGGATTAGTTTTTGAAGTTGATCGATAAAGAAACCACTTTAAAAAAAATATTTCTTAATTTTTTAAGATTTTTCAAAATTTCTCAAAATCTATCGTTTCGAATCGGTTCAAATTCACAGGAAATGTAATTTTGAGGGAAATATTTAGAACGCCGTTTAGTAGATTCCGATCGGTTTAAGGAAATGTAGGCATCACGCAGCTGCACGCATTTAACTTTATCGACGAATTTTTGTTATTTCGGCTTGCGGAAATCGTCAGATTATATATTTTTCATTATTCTTGAATTATTTCCTTCAAAATAAAAAAAAATTAGCTACGCTCGAGAATGTCGAGATGACGTTTTTTTTTACAACTTTGTTGCCCTCCCCTTTTTTCCGTCACTCTCAAATTGTCAGATTAGTGGAATATACACTTTTTAGGATGTAATTAACTCACCCTACCTTAATCTGATGCGCTCAGGAATTTCTGATGGTCAATTTTTTTTACTAATCTGATCCTGTCTCCTTCACAGGCGGCCTTATATATGGACCTCATGTTTTGTGGAGGTACTTAACCGAGTACAAGCTATCCCCCTGTATATTAATCTGCCGCGCTTTAGTAAATCCCGAAATCCCCTCTTGGGCTCCCCTCTACCATTTATACAATGGTCTTCGATTCTGCCACATACCCTTGACCGATAACAATATTATAAAATAATTTACAGATTTTAAAGATTATTTAGACTCTTCATAATAATTATTAAAAATGGATAGTAAACTAAAATAAATTTAAAACGTTTGGTCCCAGTACCCTAAGCTGCTTGACATCGCTATATTGCGATAGTTATGGACAGAAAGCATTAGCTCTGGTGTCACCGGTGCTTTTTTTAATATAACAGGAGGCAAACGGGAGGCTCACCTGATGTAAAGTGATACCGCCGCCCAAGGACACTATTTTGGTACGCTATTTTCTTGAAGGACCCTAAGTCTAATTGGTTCACGCCAAGCTTAAATCTCTAATTACCTGTGCACTTGAACCCGCTTCTTGCTCTGCGGCTGCAACAGCTTTTGTGCTTGTCCAAAGAAGGTGACATTACCTTATTTGATATTAGATTAAATCTATGTAAATGTATGAACGCTATCGTAAATTTATTAATTGAATACATCTCATTACAGTACTTAGCGAATACGATAATTAGAATAAAATATAATATTGCATATATAGCATACACAAACTACTAAACTCGCTCTGAACATAAAGATGTCGATTGTGTTGGATTCAGCATTCAGTAAACGCAGTCTTTGTTAACGGGTCTCTGTTGCAGACTGGTTCTGGCCCTTGATTTCGCAAATAACCTTCTTCTTTCTGGTCTCTTCTTGTTGCTTATAACTCCCCGCAAGACTTTTTTTTGTAATAGGAGGCAAACGGGCAGGAGGTTCACCTGTTGTCAAGTGATACCGCCGCCCATAAACACTCACATTACCTGAATGATCGCAAGTGCGTAACTGGCCTTTCAAGAATTGGTACGCTATTTTCTTGAAGGACCCTAATTGGTTCGGAAATACTTAAGTGGGCAGCTTTTGCCACATAGCGGTGGTGCGCGGCAAAAACTGTCTTAAATAGGTAGTAGGCAAACTGCAAGTGCCGTCTTGTTTCTAATTTATTGTACCCCACCATGCTTAAGACAAAAAAAAACCTGTGGCACTCGGGGACTGCCGCGGTAAAGCTATTGCATAGCATTTTTTATCAACTTATGCAGTTATAATTATTTATAAATTTTTTATTAATGCAGTATTTGTTTTTCTTTGATATTATTTCAATCTACCACTCTACCAGACTCAAACTAAAACGCCTATATAGTCTGTCTCACTCTAACGCGTATTGGCCGCACCTATATTACGTTATCGTGTGTGAGGTTTTTTTCGTTACGGAATTTCTTGATTCGGTCGCCGCGCTCAAAGCCCGCGATAAAATCTATGCAATAGCTTAATTATGTCGGGTTCGTTGAGGGATAAGAAGGATAGATGTCACACAGTCTATAAGAAAGTAACCGAGCACACTTATTCTACAGAACTTTTAGACTACAGTCTTAAATAAGTTCAATAATGTTTCAGTTCTTCAAGTTAGACGGTAAAAAGTTTGGTTTCACATTCATTGCTGATATAACACACGATGACTTTAACATGATACCGACGGCTGATGATGCGTTGGCAGCCTTTTTAACTGATTTCATGGAAAAGGGAAGAGGGAAAAACACAATGCTTCTATTGTTTGGTGATCATGGACCTAGGTAAGTGATAGTTATCAGTGATCAATAATTTTATTAAAATGTTATAATACTTTTATTTTATTGGTTATTTGACCTTTTGCCTGAGATTTTACTAATAAGACCAGTTCCATATCGTAATTTGTTATGCTAAATTAAACTGTTTTCTGGTAAAATTTCATTTAAATAAAAAAAATACGATAGGTAATTCATTCCGCTGACTTATTGTATTAATGCTATGTGTACTATCCTGCCGTAGATGAAGTGGGTGTGCCTTAGACCATAGAATGTACATGTAGCGGCACGAAACTCTAGCGCTGACCGTTATTGCGTAGAAGTAAAAAATAAGGAACCTGAGGGGGGCTAGCGGAATGAAGAGCGGGCGCGCGTAGCGTCGATTGGCTCTCCAGTCGCATTCCGTCCCCCGCACCGATACGACGCCCCGCGCACATCCCGTGTACAGTCGCGTCATTAATATTATTGTTACTGTTTAACACGTTTTGTTGTTTTTTGTTACGTTTGAATTTGTTAGTGTTTTGTTGTTTGTTTTTAAGTTTGTTTGTGACTTTAAAGTGAATATGCCTAGAACAAATACTGTTTTGAAAAGACAAGCCAGGAAAATGGTTTATGACGTGAATTGTTTTTTAAAAAGGGAACAAAACAAATCCAAATTGAGATTCAGCTTAATTTCGTTATTTAGGTAATCATTAATCAAAGTGGCATATAATGTATTGCGTGCGCGACAGTACACATGCGCAGCAATCCCCTCCACGTATCGGCCAGCGCTAGACTTACGTGCCGCTGCCTATACTAAGTATTAAGCCCGGTACTCTGCGAGTCCCTTCAACGTAGAGCTTTAGTACAGCGACCAACGTTGCGACTTCAGCGGTACGGTTATTGAGAACTTCATCAAACTTTAATTAATAATATAATTGAACTAAATTTAGTTTATATAATCAAAAATATTTGTTGGAGCAATGGCGTTATTCAATCACTGTTATTCACGTAACTGTCATGTCAGAAGGCTAATAAATTAACAACGTCAAAGTCAAATTGGTTCAAGGCCCCTGTGACATAAAATGAGAGTGGCAGCTGACAGTTACAACATACAGGACGCTACATAAGAAACTTCTTGCTCTTCACGACTTCAGAAGATGAGAGCGTACGGCCTAAAGGGCCGGCAACGCACTTGCAAAATGGTGTTACGGGTTTGCCTTCTGTCCTATAAAAAGCATATTTGATCAGTTCAAGGATTCTGTTACAGATACGCCTACGTTCGCGACACATTACAAGGCAAATTCGAAGAGCGGTTGCCTCTTATGGCTATACGTTTACCAGATGACCTCGTAAAAGAAAGGCCGAACGCACAAAAGAACTTGGAACGTAACGCCGAAGTTCTGACGACGCCCCATGATATTCACGCAACAATTTTGGATGTTATGGATATGAGGAAGGAGTGGAATCCATATAAGATTAAGGGTGCGGACTTGACGCGTGGTTTAACGTTATTGGAACCGGTAAGGACGGATATATTTTGTTTCTGTATTTTGTGGTAAAAGTTTGATTTTAGGCGGTGATAGCCGAAACTTTTGTTTGAAACTTAAAATTTGACTGCACTCTGCTCTTCTAAGAAATTAATATTAATGTCTGGATGAATCGAACCTGAGACCTCTTTCCTCTGTCTTAAAGTATGAAATAACATATTTTATGGGTTTAAAAATGATGTGGACGAACCCTTACTTCGTTACATAATAGGCTATTTGATATTTTAAAGATTTTTAAGTCACTATGGAATCTTTACAAGTTATTATCAAAATAAACATTTATAATTTTAAGAACCCGCAAGATGGCGTCGCACCAGTTTCTATGACGTGACATGCTTGTAAACATATAATGTCAAGTTTTGAATGATTCTCAAACGACACAAATAAACATATATTTTTTTAGATTCCGACGATATTAAACTCTAAGCTTAGACATTAGACAGGCGAAGACATTATTTACAAGCGTCCTACGTCATCGTCGATTCAACTAATCCGTGACAGCTTTGTGTCACGTGATCAAAGTCAATATTTTTAATTTCGTTTATTGATAATGATGATTTACAAGATATTTTACTCCATAATTTTTTAGAGACATGTTTAATACAGATTCCTCTTTATTTGTCATACTTCCTTTAAGTAAAATTAGTGTTGTAACCTTTCTAGATCTCATCAAACCGATCCTGTAGTGAGGCGGGAATCGAACCCCACTGGTGTTCTTGTTTATCCTGGGAAGAAGTGGTCAAATCTGATCCTATGTTCACGAAAACTGGGAAGGCGCTGGTGGATTTTATTAATTCACTCACAGACGAAGCTAGGTTAGTAAATGAATAACTCTTTAAATAAAAATTATGCACCAAGTCTTTTTTATGTATAGAACAGTGTTGGCTTCAGCTACGATTCTCAACCCTGAGGTCGTAGCGGCTGAGCACCAATCGACTTTCTTCTTTCTTTCTATGTGCGCATTTAGCACTCGCTCGTAGACACAAAAAGTGGACGGAGTGTGTCAGACAGAGACAACTGATCACCTACTTACCTATTAAGAAAAATATCACGAAACAGATACAGAACTATGAGGTCCAGACCAAATGTAAAATGTAAATTATATTAAACTAGCTGTGCTCTGCGGTTTCACTCGCATTAATTCGGTCGTAGCACGATGTTCTATAGCCTGAAGCTTTTCTATGTAAATATTTTTTTTGAAGATTTTATGGCCTGCTGAAGCCATCGGTAAATAGACTTAAATGCACAAAAAATATTTTTTTATATAGATACTAGTGGACCCCACAGACGTTGTCCTGCATGATATTTAAAGCGATTGGGATATTAAGCAAAGTATGAAAGTAGCGACTGCAGTGCCATCTGCCGGGCTGATTTGTGAATCTAAACCATTCCCAGATCCCCTTGAACACACACAAAAAATTTCATCAAAATTGGTCCAGTCGTTTAGGAGGAGTTCAGTCACATACACACGCACACAAGAAATATATATTAAGATGGTATCGCGGACTTTTTTGTAGATATTGGATTGGCAATTAGGCCAACTGGCCAACAAAATCAGCGTTTTATTTATTTATTCACACTTACCATTACCTTATACAAAAACATACATATAAAAAAGCAGGTTACATAAGTTATTAGGCAACGGGCGGCCTTATCGCCAACAAGCGATTTCTTCCAGGGGTAAAGTACAAGAAGTGTATAAATAATTAACAGAAAAGAACACAAAATAACACTAACTATAACTAAAATAAAGTAAATCTAAAGAATAATAATATGTATAAACAAAAATTTAAAAGCTAATCCAAGGGTTAATTGAGTCACAATTAATATATATAATTAGCTACTTACGTATATATAGCTAATTACGAGGTAGAAGAAAAATGATAAAAAAGAAGATTTCTAAATAAATTTAAAGACAGCGTTCTCGGTAACAGCATAACGCCGAGTCAGGTATCTTTAGTTGCGGTTTTAATTTTGTATTTTTCTTGTAAGCATTATTTTTTCTAATAATTATATTATTTTTTTCAGATCAAAATGTGTTCCCCGAACTCTTCAAAGTGTACAGTGGTCGATGCGTAAGCGGCCTAATAATGGAGTACTAACATTCGTGGCCGCGAAGGATATGGACGGATACGTTGGCAAGTTCGGAAAACAGCTAAATGCTGATAGAGAGGATTATACTGTTAAGGTAATATTTATTGACTTAAAAATTTGATAGGGCGCAAAGGGGCAGGAGGCTCACGTGCTCAAGGTTATCGCCCCTCATAGACTCTTAGGGAGCGTTCGAGTATTAAGTAACGCAATTTGGGGGGAGGGGGGCGTCTTTTGAAACGTTACAGCGCGTTACATGGGCGGGAGGGGGGTTATTTAAACAACGCGTTACGTAACATTTTTGATTTTAATAAAAAAACTGGGGGATTAATTGGCAACCCTTCTCGTTTAAGTTGTACGGGGAATCCCTTTATTGTATTGTACGTTACTTTTATTTTTGCTTTCCTAAGTTTATGTTTCGAGGAATCCCTCGACTGTGTGTACGTCATTTTTATTTTGTTAGAGTTAACACAGAAGCACATTGCACAGAAAAACGTTATAGTGCGTTACATGGGGGGGATGGAGCTTCTAAAATCTTTAATAGTTGCGTTACGTAATACTTGAACGCTCCCTTACGTAGCCGGTCTTTAAATAATTTTGCCCTGATTTTTTATTACTTCTTAAAAAATAATAACATCTTACTTTCGTCTATCAGTCTTCCCAACTCCCAAACAAATATATCCAGTTCAGGTGCAAAACTTAAGTAGCATCAAAGGTGGAATTAGTGACTGCTGGCGGAGAACAGTTCGTTAGTAAGGATCTCACACGTTATATTTCTGTACCGTGACATTTGTACGCATTTGTAATATTTCGTTCACGACATGGTTATTCCCTTTAACGCGAAAAGTTAAATGTAAATCATTTCTACATAACGCGTTATATGGTCTCATACAAGCGTGTTATGCGAGAACACTCCCACACAGCGTTTCCTATAATGCGTTACCAATCTACCGTGTTATAGCAGGGATTACTGTATGTGCTGAGCATTTGTGAAATAATTTTTTGTGAATCGCATCACTCGGTTTAATAAAGGTTAACCTCATAATTTCAGATAACAGTTAACCCAAATAATGGAGTGTATGAGGGTTCTCTGATTTATTACAAAGCGGAGGATAGATTCGAGATCGACTCGAGAGATATATCAAGGATTAATGCGTAAGTGAAATTATCTTATTATCGATGCCCGCGTTCAATACTTACGTATATACTTTTGAACGTTAAAAAAAATTAGTGGTACAACCTTTTTAGGTCTGGGCCTCACTCTATCTGTATCTGTTTCATGATCATTTGTAAATCTAATAGTAGGTGATCAGCCTTTTGTGCCTGACGAACGCCGTCGACTTTGTGGGTCTGAGACAAGCCGGTTTCCTCACGTTTTCCTTCACCGTTCGAGCGAATGTTAAATGCACACATAGAAAGTCCTACGGGGATCAAACCTAAGACCTCAGGGATGAGAGTCGCACGCTGAAGCCACTAAGCAAACACTGCTCTACTTCAGAACATTAGCTATTTTAATATTAGATTATTAGTAACTTTTTTTGTACGCTTGAACATTTTAACCTTAAAATCTGGCTCTGTGACCCAAAAAGGGTGCCTCCGAAATGAGATTCTACCAGCGCTTCCTTCCCTGTGCCATCATGGAGGTGGCACAGCTATATATATAGTATTTTTAATATCCAAATAAAAATTGTATGTAATTTTAGTTTAAGAAACGTGATCAGCTTTTTGACTCCTAGATTTTGGTCTATATTCCTATCTTAAGCGATATATTTAAAAAATAATATGTATTATTACGTTTCAGATACAACAACGAGCCCAGTTGTATTAGCGCGACCCTACCTCATCTAAATATGTATTGCTTTTGTAAAGAATTCCTTTAACCTCCATCATCATATAATCGGTGATGAATATCGTCCTATATTAAGTTAAGTGCCTTTGAATGTTCGAATATCTATAGAAAAAACTTTAAAAGCATAAAAATTGCTCACATCATATTAACTAACAGTTATAAGCGTGTAGAATATATAACATGCTCGGTCAAATGATACAAAAATGAAAAAAAAAAATTGTGCGTGTACTAGGTGTACACAATAAGAAGTGAAACTTCTTTATGATCTTATTTTTCGAAAAATGATCTACTATATGCAACTTTAAGAAATGTTAAATTAGATAAAGTTTAAAGAAGGCTTTATTATATAGACATGAATACAAATATTTCATTTTACCTTAATAAATTATTATAGAATTCATTAATTGTAATAGAATATTACTATATTGAAAAAGGAGATTTACAAAATCTCCCAGTCGATAAAGATTTCATCACGATAAATGACTTCAAAAGCAAAGGGTAACCGAAAAATAGGTAACGAAAAAATGTTAATAACCACTCGATAAAGAATTCCTAAATAATTAAATTAATTATTACTATCATTTTTTCAAAACTTTGTTTTTATTATAAATTTTATAATTTTATGAAGCACTACACGTTTTTGACATAAAAATAATATTTAAAACCATAATATTATTTATAACTAAACATAATACTGAATATTAAATAAATATAACGCGAAAAAATTATCAAAAAAAAAACTTGGTTAGAGGTAGGAAATTCACAAAAAACATCTTAACTAATAAAAAATAAAAAAAGAAAAAGGGGTAAGGAAAATGTGACGACGGGAGTTAAAAAACCTTTTCATAAAATGGGAATGTCCCTTAGTCAATAAACACGGTCTTGAGATCCATCTCAAGGGTTTTAAATTTTTCCGGAATTTAATGTGATTGAAATACACCAATTAGTGTGGATGGTACCGCCCAGGTCAGATAGTTTAGTAATATTTTTTTTCTATACTAATATTATAGGGGAAAATATATGTATTTTTGTATGTAACATATAAACTCAAATGTACTGGACCGATTCCATAAGTTTTGTAGCAGAATAATAAAAAATAATAACGCGCTATTTTACTTGGATATGCTAACTAATAGGTTAATTATTCTTTGAGCAACTAAATTTACTTTATTAATTTGGCACTGGATTTTAAAACTGCTTCCAATTAATGTCAAAACATTCATGTCACTGCCACTGTCAGTCTGACACAAATGATAGGCGTTAAATTATCATAAAGTATGTTATATGTAATTGGATTTTATAGAGAAAAAATTTCAATTGGACTTGAACTACAATAATTTCAATGTACTTAAAAAATAAGGCTTCATGTATATAGTTCACATTATAAGGGCAAGATTCAATGACGATACTTAATGCGTACTCCGTTGGTACAAGACTCTCGTATGCCAAAAATATGTTTTGACATACCTACATAAGTTTGCGCTAAGTTTCGAGACGAATCTCTGTGTCTAACACTGTATATATAATTGTATATTTTTATTCAAATATCTGAAGCAAACTTTGTGGTAATGTGTAAAATAGAATAGTTAACGTCAAGTTATATTTTGTTTTGTATATTAATTATAAAATTAATTGTATTTATTGCCTAAAATATATTTATGATGGGAAAACTGAGCGCTCTACATGTGGAATAAACTGTACAAATTGTATGCATGCGTTTCAGATTCCAACTTCCTATAAAGATTGCGTCGGAGTATAAAGATCATAATAAAATAATATTACCGTAATTGTTTAGCTTAATTTTAAGAAAACTTCCAACTAAGCGACCATAGTCAAAATTAAGCGTTACGCATTACGCGAATTTAAAATTCATTCTTATGATTGAGAAGAAAATCTTAGATTTCCGTGTAACCTCTACGTTCCTATTTCATTTGTGCGTTCGCGATTATAAACCGTATTAATAGGTTATACAGTTTACTTTCAATTGGCGCCATCAACATATGCAAACGGAGTATATCTAAGTGCTTTATCAAGCCTACAATAGATAAAAAATTGTAATATATTTCAAAGTGAGATTAGAGTAGGCGCGACTAAAAAATAAAATCTTTACCAATAAGATACTTTTTATTGTCGTTAAGCGAGTACAAACATGAATTCAAAACACATAAACATGATAAAACTATTTCCATTGAATTGATTATTGTTTTTACATAGTATATTTTAATTCAGAAAAACACGATACTTAGATAGTTCACGTAAGTTAGGTAGATAGTCCGCGTTTTATAAGGCAATGAGATTAAAATTAATTAATTGATCACGTGAGATTAGTTTAAAATAATTGCAATTTTTCATTAAACAAGTGCTCATACACTTGCCCAGTGATCGCAGTGATGTCCACAAACCATTCGAGTGAGATTAATATGATGGTTTTTTCTACTCATAAGATTTTAGACCCTATTCTAAAAAGTCACAAAAACCTTCATTTGACAAGATAGACGTGACGTGATTGTGATTTGGGCTATTAGAATATGACAGTCTTCTAACTCAAAATCTTTTTATTTTTTAATAATTATTATGTGTTAATATATATACAGTATTTACTATATTCTTAATCCACATAGTAATAATAGTAATTAAATGGATTAATAGAAAACTGAAATAATTAAAAAGTTATAAATTTCTCATTATAATTGGAAAAGTCAAAATACTGCTTAGACATAATGTTTTAATTTATAAGCACTAAAAAATCATGTAAATAAAATAAGGATGGCAGAATTTCATTTCTACTACACTAATAACCAAAATAATCACACAATCTTTACGTGAATTGTGGCTCAGTGTTGCCAATTAACACGTATAGTAATTGGGTAATTAAGTTAAGCATTTAAAAATGTCTGACTTCATTTAGCTTTTTATACTCACCTGATTTGTACAGTTATCCTTTACGATAAATTGCACATGTATGTTTGTTATTGTGTACCAACACTGAAATTAAAATGTCAATATGGCGGACCTGTGCTGTCATTTTACAGTTGATGATAATGTTTTGAATTATGTGTAAAGCTCTTGACAGTTCGACTGCGTCGTTAAAGAGTGTTATGATGCAAAATTGTTGCTTAATTATGTCTTGGCAAATGTATCTTATTAACGCTCACATTACGACCCTATTAAGTAGTAATTTTAAGTCGTTAGGTTAGTGTCGAAACAGTGCTTCGTATTTAAGATTATCTTAATATGGTTTATAAGAATTTTTATATCTCAAAGCCTCACCGTTCAAAAATGGCAAAAAAAAAATACATTGAACTTTGATTCAGCCGAGTAATTGTGTTAAAAGCCATATTTTTTGATTCATTTTTATTTAAACTTGTGTTTTTGTCTATGATTATTTCTTTTCACATTTTAACATACAAAAATGGAGAAATATAAGAAACACTCAAAAACTATCAAAACTTATTGTCTTATTATTACCTAAAGTTGTCACATCCTTAAAATTTCTTTATTTAGTTTTTAAACTTTTTTGACAATTTTGATGAATAATATTGTAAAATAAAGACGGGTTTTTAGGCAAGCGCTCACATATTATTACATATCCATGGTATGCAGTTAAATACTAGTATACATACAAACAAAGAAACGTGGATACGTTAATGAGAAGTAAAGGTAATGTGTTTATCCTCGAGTGAGACTACAAAGAGTGGAACGCTACAAGTTTTGTTCCAAGACTACAATTAAAATGTCTTAAATACTAATACCAACATGTACGCATTTTACAGTTAATGACAATAAAGTTTTTAATTATCTCTAAAGGTCTTGACAGTTGCCTGAAGAAGGTTATGATGCGAAATTATTAGTCCGTTATGTTTTGGAATAATGTAAATTAAATCTTATTAGTTTTATACTGTAAAAAAAGTTCTATTAAATAGTTCTATTGTAATTGAAATTGGGTTATTACCGACAGGTTTCGGTCGATACAGTGAACTTTCCCATTTAAGATTATCTAGTCAATATAAGTATGGTTTTCATAGAAAATTTTTTTTTCTCTCAACCTAAAAACTAGTATTAAACAAAATTTCTGTTAAAAATTAATTATACAAAAATTCTCTGAAATTGGACCAGCCGTCTTCGAATTTTGTGACTTAGAAACATATTAGTGAGTGTCATTTTCATTTGGTACATACAGAATTGTGTTTTTTACTTATATTATTTCATTATTAAAATTTTAACAACAATAAATGGAGAAATATAAAAACCACTTCAACACTTACCTATCTCATATTCAAGAAAGGTTTAAAAAAGTTCCGTACCTTAGTTATTGTTTAAAGTTGTACAACTTCTTAGAAACTAATTTCATTTATTTAGTTTTATATTGTCAATTTTGTACACATTTTGATGAATAATAGGCTAATCACCAAAGACGGAGTTATCCGGGCATAGCTCTACATAGTATTAACATATATGGTATACAGTTAATCCCAGATAACTCAGTTTATATTTTCACCATGTAAAACAACCGATAAACTAGTTTGGATTACGTTATTTTTGGAATAACGATTTATCTGTGGAAGTGTATCCTGGAGTGAACGAACAAAAGTGTATAATGAAAAAAAATTATAATGTCGCAATTTAATTTAAAAAACAATAAATTAAATGAATCTTATTTAAATACATAATACGTCAGTACATGTACATAGTACCTAATTCTGTAATCTATAATCAGGTCATTAGAAGTCTTTGTTCTGCCTCAATGGTCTATCTTCGCTGTATTTTTATTTGAAAGAGAAATTCAGATAACAGACAGTTTCAATAATGATAATTACATATAGAAAAAAAGTTTTATAGCTGTTAAATGCCAGAGAAGATGCTACTGGAATAGATCTGATATCTGTCCATTTTTAAGATAGTGGAATACAAACGTACCGACAGGTTTCCATGAAAGAAAAAATGCTGAGTATCAATTAAAATGTCCCAATAAGAATCTGCAAACCATTTAAGTATAGAATTGCGTAGAAAATCTTTATTTGCACAATTCGAAAGCTTAAAAAAATCAGAATCTGCTGCTGCAAACAGTACATGATTCATACAGGTAAAATCATTTTATCATTTTATATACATAAATTCTTTTCGTAGATGTTGAAATGATTATTTTCCTCTTTAATCCGTGCTTGCAAGCATTAAAGGACATAGTTTTCGTTTAAATCATCTGGTGCACCATCACTGAAACTTTCGTGAATAATTTTGCTTAAACATTGCCTTACTATAGTTGTGATAATTAGATCAAGGAAAGAAAACAGGAACAACTCTGAGGGATCAACCACAACAACACTTAGGATCTAACAAAATGTCTTGTTCTTTAAACACAGTGACGTGAATGGCGGCCATTTTTAACCGGAGCCGTATTGTTCAGAATTGGGCGTATAAATCTTCTCCTTGGAATAACGTTTATTCTCAGGTTAAGTAGTTGGAAATGTTCATATTTGATTCCAGGGTTAATTCTTTAATAAAACTTTCTGAGTTTCGTGAAATTAGCCCTTAGAGGGTGGGAAAAGGAAGATATTATGTTAGGAATTTAATTGTCATTAAGTGTCGAAAATTAATACAAATAATAATTTTTTTTTCTTTATTTCTTCGATAATAAAAACACGTGGCATTTTAATTTACAATTCATCATTTGAGATGTCAATAAATTATTTTGCTTAAAATATAAATACTAATATTTCATAAATTCTCTTTACGAGACTTTAATTTAAAAAATAGAATTTCTATAAGGTAATTCGTTCGCCCTTCTCACTCTCTCAATCGGTCTCAACCGCACTCTCCCTTTTCTTCGACAAAAACGCTGCACATCTTCGTGACTTTCCGTACAAATTTTACCCTCATGCGCCTAAAGAAGTTACAAAAATCGTTTCCAAGACAGCAACCAGGATTTTGTTTTGGATCGTTGTTATTACAGTCAAGATATCCATTTCACTGACTTGTTTTTCTTTACAAAGATTATCCAAACCAAATAATACTTAAATACATGGTCGTAATAAAAACTTCGATAAAAAACCAGTAGATATAGTTTCTAATGGATTTTTACCAATTTTCTATGTAGTTCTTTCTCATTATATAACTGATTCTCTGAATGCTGTGTTTTGTGAGGAAACCGGTGTCCCATCTTTGCCGGTAAGTATCGACATAGATGCGTATATTACATGAACAAATATGATTTAAAAATAGAACTCTTTTGGAAATCTTTAGCAACTCCACTCTACTGATCTATTTAATTGCTCGCAACTGTAGATTATTGCGGTTATCCTTTGAGTGATAAGTGACTACTATATTACTTATGCACTGAGAAATAATTTAGTATAAATCGTTCAGTAAACGTTAAATGTAATAATTTTATTAAATTAAATTAATACATAAATAATTTGTTTAATATAAGTGAAAATGAAGGTAATTTACTATTGTTCGTAAGTACATATAAACATTTTTAACGAATAAGCGAGACAGCCTCACACCTAACGGCGAGTTAAGTAAGCTAAGTTATTAAAGTTGTTAAACATTTCTTTCTTGTAATCACTTAATTAGACGAGAGATCATTCGACTATGTATTTTTTTAATTTCAATATTTTCAGGGCATAAATTTATATATATAATTATGTGATAATGTTGTATACTTAACTTACTGCGATATTAAGTGACAAAAACAATAGCCATAAATAAAAATAGTCAAGTAGGTGATCAGCCTCCTGTGCCTGACGACGCCGACTTTTTGGGTCTAAACTCTAAGGCAAGCCGGTTTCCACACGATGTTTTCCTTCACCGTTCGAGCGAATCTTAAATGCGCATATAGAAAGAATTGGTAGGTACTCAGGCGGGAATCAAACCTACGAACTTAGGGATGAGAGTCGTACGCTGAAGATCGACATTGCCAACAGGCTTAAACTATTTTTTGGTTCAGGATTTTTTTATGTTTTCTAATAGGTAGGTATCGAAGGTCTCGAAGGTAAATCTTATATTTTTTTACAGTTCCTTATTATCTGTACCTTACTAGTGGTGGCTGTGTACGCGTCGCCCTTGGCATACAATACGTAAGTTATTGAAATTAATACAACAACAATAAAAAAATAAACAATTTATACGCAATTTAAAAATACTTTTTCGTTTTACAGTAACCAACAAGGATCCGGGGTAAGTTAATTATATTTAAAAGCTTAAATAACATTAACACTTGAAAAAAGGAACATATATTCATTGATATAGTTCACATAATTTAATGATGCCCAGAGTACGTTTACGTGGAAAAAAAATAATTGGCTGGAATCAATAGTATTAATACATTTAATAATACTTTTGCCAGATGTTAACTAAAAATATCGAAATTGTTGTGTTATATAAAAAAATAAGTTGTTAATAAAATTTTGTGTTGTATTTTTATCATTCTCTCTGTCTTTGTCTCTTTTCATAAAAACAATTTGTAAGAAAAGGTCGGAGAGTATGGGAGTATTTATTTATACTGCGACGAATTTAATTGTTTCTTTTCTCGTCTTCAAATATTAATTCGACGTTAAGTTCTTAACAACGTAGTAACCATGTTTACAGCTTTTGCACACGAATCACGACAATTGTATTGGAGTTGCAAGTGAAAAAAATGTACTTTAGTGTAAGGAGCAACGATGTAATTTTTTTCTAGGACAATGACTACATGTTCAAGTATTTCGTAAAAGAGCAGCCAGTTGGAAATAACTTTGGACACCGTGAGATGAGAATAGGCAACCAAGTGACTGGGATGTACTACGTGTTGTTGCCTGATGGGCGTGTTCAGGTAATACATAATCTATATAAATAAAATTGAATCCCAAAATATCTTGCTAATTACAAAACTTGAAATCGGCTGGACCAATTCGAGTATTTTTATTGAACTCTGAGTAAGGTTTTATGGAGAGAAATTGGAAAGAAATAGATTTACTTAGTAGTTAGGTTTTTATTCCGAAATACCTACGTAACTATTTCTATGTGGTAGCATACGCACTTTGTGCGTTTTCCAATTACAGCACTAGAGCGCATTTTGCGGCATAATGCTCAACGTTGAGTGTTCCAACTACAGCAACGCTTCGCACAATTGAGCATTCAAACTGCTAAAAAAAAAAATATTAGTATGGATGAAGATATAAATAGTTACTTTTTTTATATTCCACATTTAAAATATGAATACAATTTTATTTTAAAATTCGGATCTGTAAACAAATTTACTTTACAGGATTATACATACTTTAGAAAAAATTGCAATGGTTTTGAAAAAGTATATAATTTTTTAGAAATCATTAAAAAATATTACTTAAAACGTAAATGATGTAAACTTCTTACATGAAACTTAATATTTTACTGTTAATTTAGCTTGTTAAAACCTTATATTCTTTAAAGGTTTTCTCTTATTTCAGTAAAAAAAATTTAATGAAATAATTTGATTATTTAATTAAGCGTAAAAAGTTTTCAACCAACTATTATTGTTTACCACATTATTTATACATTAATGAGGTTGCTAACTCTATTCAGACCATTTTTTTGTCAACACTGACTTAGAGCACTCTGCTGATGCATTTGAAAACTAATTCACGTTCCAATTAAGCTTCAGCATTATGCGGCATTGTGCGGCACTGAGTCGCAAAATGCTCTGTAATTGGAAAACGCACAATATGTTCCATATGTTGGCATGTAGCTTCTAAATACGTAGGCTAAGTAAAATATCATATTAAGGCGAAACTAAGTGCGGGGATAGCATAACATAAAATGAAAATTTTATTATAATGTTACCTGTTGATTCACTTACGACGGCTTATGTCGATAAAGACTCAGAAAATATAACATAATATATTTCTTTGGCAGAATTTTATTTCATAATTTTTTTCTCGACCCAAACAGATTAAAGCTAAGGTCTTAATTATTTTTGTTCGATTATTTTAAATCTTGTGGTGTACTTCAGATAAGCTCCTAAACTTCAATTAACATTTACATGAATAGTAATAATGCCTGTTTATTCTTTGATGATTATTAAGTTATTTCACACATGTTTTTTTACAGAAAGTCGATTATGTTGCTGATGAAAATGGATACAGGCCTACAGTTACATATTTGAATCCTTGATTTTTTTACATTTTAGATGAATTACTTAGTTTTATACATATTGTTAAATGAATTAAAATTTAGCGTAAAATTTACACATATATGAATGTTCGTTGTAGATTACAAAACTTGTGAATGAAGAAAGGTTATGATTGTTTTTGTAATAAATAGAGAAGAAAACAAATATTTTATAAAGCGTCTTTTATTAAAAAAATATCTGTACAAAGCCTTAAATTAATTTGGCAATACTGGCCTAATGACAACATACAAAGACTAAATAAAAGCAAAATGTATTTTGTTCTACTCTGTGATTATACTTTAGGCATAAACAAGTCTATTCCATAGATAAGACCAATACATTTCGCCATATTTAGTTTGGTATATCATAATTAAAACTAAATAAATAGTCGCAATCCATTAACATAGCCTCTGTCGTCGTAATCTAATTAAAATTTGTACTTTACTTACATCAGTATCCGATTATTTTATTTATTAATAGGTGGTATAAGTATAGATAATAATTACATGCGTAGTAATAATAGATTATGAAAATAATAGAATTTACGAATATGTTGTCTTTTTGAAGATATATAAAAATTAGAAGATCCGCGAAAAAGGCAATTTATAAATAACAGAAGTTATTACCATTTGGTAATGAATCTATTAAATTTTAGAAATAATTTATAAATTACCAAAGCACAAGAACTGTCTTTAGAGAGAAGGAGATCTATTATCTGGTCTTTGTACCATTTAATACTGGTAACCACCACCTGAGTAACCGCCTTGGGCATTTCTGTTGTAGCCTCCAGCGCCTACACCAACGTCTTGGTAAGAAATCTTTGGCCTGTACCCATTCTGGTCAGCTTCGTATTCGACAGTCTGAAATAATTGCAATATTCGAGATTACGGACGCAAAGAAGAATACAATTTCTTTTGAGAAATGAAAGGAATTAATGAATGTGGACGGTTTTTAAAATCATGTATGCGTTATTTGATTAAAAGTTTTATTTAGAATGCGAGGTTGAAGCCTACTCTAATCATTAACCACTATATTTTATTGAATCTAAATGGAAAACTAAATAAAACAATAAAGTATTACTTTATAATTGTTTGGCTAGTGACAAAATCACACAGTCAAAACGAAAATGTTATTTATGACCATTTTTGAGCAAATTTGTTTGGCGTTAGTGGGTCACGACTCACGCCTGTTGTTAAGTGATTCTTCGTGTTATAGTCAATAACAGTTTCGGTTTGTCCATACTGCCAATCGAAAGACATTTCAATATGGCTGCCGTAGCTCCTATAAATGACGTTCCACAGATAAGTTGTAGGCACTGTTAAGTTTTACTAACTAACCTGTTTTCTGCCATCTGGGAGCAGCACGTAGTACAATCCCTCAGCCCTGTCGCCCTGCCTGGACTCACGGTGACCAAAATCATTGCCGGATGGCTCGTCTTTCACCATGTATTCAAAGCTGTAGTTGGCTGGCTCCTAAAGAGAAACATATATTTACTTCCAATGGTTTTTTTATATTTTTTTTATTATTAATAATAATACTCTACTCCCCTGCCATTGCGTCCAGGGACTTTTTATATCTCTTAAATTTTTCCAAAAAACAAGATACATTAGGTATATTAATTCCAATAAACTAGTTCACGAATGGTGTGTTACGCGTCTCGCGAAATACGACCCGGCTACATCGGTAATATTTTTATTTTACTTCCAATGTTATGTTAGTACTTAGTATGGTTCTTTACTTGCCAATAAAGATCTCTTAACACTAGGACGCTTAGTCCCAGGTTCGATTATTAATGAATAATTGTTTACTTAATATAAATAATAATAATTAGGTGAGTAGTTTATTATGGTTTACTGTATATATTATACTTTATGGTTTACTGTATATTATATATATATATTGACTTTTTGAGCGTTAAAAAGTTTAAAATAATTTAATGCTATTTACTTACGCCGTTACTACCATCATCAGAGCCGTATCCGTTCTGGTTTGGAGGTAGATATTGTCTGTTTTGAGCCCTGTTGTATCCAGAGTTTGAATCAAAGCCGTTTTGAGAGAAACGGTTGCTGCCTGCACACGACAAAAAATAATAACAGTTAATTTATAATATGATTTTTTTTGGTTTGACATTTTTTGTTTATCATTTACTAAAGTTGAATGGATTGTGACAATATACCTCGGGATCCAAGACCTGGTGCACCATACTCTTGCGAGGGTGTAGCATACGTGATGTCAGTACCAAAACCTGGATTAGGAGCGCCGTATTGTGATGAGGGCTGAGTTAGTCTTGCATTAGGCGATAGGTACTGGTTTGAGAGCTGGGATGGTGGTACATATTGACTTGAAAGTGCCTGGGATGGTGGTCCATATTGTGTGGAGAGTGCTTGACTTGGGGGCCCATATTCAGTTGAAGGTCTTCGTGGGGCGTTGTATGACGATGATGGGCGATTTCTGGTGATACAAGAATGTTTTAACAAGGCAAGAATGAGTAACATAATGAGGCTTTTTCTTTTTGGAATACTGTTTTGAAGGCAGATAACATTCGTAAAAAGGACAAATTTTGTTTTTCTTAGAAGGTGAAACTTAATGGTATTATAATGGTAATAATAATAATTTCTTTGCAAGAATATGGTACAAAAATATAATGGTGGTATAATCTAAACTGCGCATATTCTGCTCACATAATGGGTTCCAATTTGATGAAGTAGATTTTACATACTACATTACTAAATTAATTATTATTAGATTATACTTTACTTGTAGTTAAAAATATCTATTTAAATATAAGTTAAACAAAAACTTCTTTTGATTTAGGGAAGTACAACGAAGAATATTTGCATATATTTTAAAAGTATTGACATACCTTATAATAGCATCCGTCTGTCGCTGTCCACCAAAGCCTGGTACTCCATAAGATTGAGAAGGAGGTAGGTACCTGAAAAGTTTGTAGGTATTTTATATTAAACAATTAATGTCACTAAATCAATCCGACTTATACAAACAGGCATCACACAGTTACAACGAACACACACCCACACTTTATATGCATTGTCTCTCTTATATTATTGTTAAGTCTGTAAACCTGCTAATTAGCGTTTCGATTTAATAAATAAATTAATATTAATCAAAATCAAGCCAAAAATATGACCCGAAATTTTTTTGAGTCAATCAGCGTATTTTCTATATTAAGCTAAGTTAATACTATTCAGTAAGTAAAATCAAGACAAGAAAGTTACCTATTGTTTACTGGTGGCTCGGCTATAGCCGATACAGCAAGAAGAACGACTGCAAACAACTGAAAAAATTATATTAAATATAAATATAACTCGTTGAACCGATGTCTTGGCATTCTGATAAACAATAAACTACAAGCTCCCTCCTTATCAGAATGCTAAATCGTAAAACGACTGATTCACAACTGATTTGAGCGCGACCGCCGCTGCAAAAACCGCAGTGAGAGTTCGAAAAGTGAGTTACAGAATCGCAAGGCTGGTGCTTTCCTCGCTCAACGAAGTATCGCAATACAGTGAGGAAATGTTGCCAGCATAAAATTTATTTTATTGTATCTATTCATTTTTAATTATTATTACTATGTAATGTAGGTTAATAAGACTAGACAAACACTTTTTACATATGTTAAGTCTTGTGCAGTCCAAATCGTATTTTTTTTTTAAAGATAATTCACACCAATTGACCTAGACCCATGATAAGCTGGTGAAGCTTGTGTTATGGGTACTGGGGGCAACGGATATACATACATATTATAGATAGATAGACATATAAATACATATTTAAACACCCAAGACCTAAGCAAAACACCAAATGCTCATCACATCGATGTTCGTCTCAGCCGGGGATCGAACCCGGGACCCATGGATTCGCAGTCAGGTTTACTAACCACTAGACCAATGAGTCGTCAAATCGCGGAGAATCTTTTGAACTAATAAGCACTTGAAGATTCATAATGACCTTAGGTGAAGCGAGTTCTTACCTTCATTTTGTCTTCACTTTCGTCAGCTTTCTGCAAAATAAATGTTACTAAGTATTACTGGTAAAATTCTATATTTTTACTTTATAACAAACGCACATCTGAACGTCACTTCACAAAAACAACAACTCGCAGTTTTTACGCTTATTTTGAGTTACATTAAAAAAAAGACAATATTTAAAAAAAGAACAGTTTATATAAAACTAACTTGCCTGCTTTACAAAAAGCCTAAGAACTAACTTATTAAAACGTCACTTATATTTTATATAACGTATAAAGTAAATAAAAATGGATTCAAATAACACGTTAAATGTGCATGCTTTTCAAGAACTCAGTGTTGCATTTGAACTTACCCTATATGTAAAGGAACTATTAGTTTATCTAAACAAGGATGGTACTCGAATGATGGTCAGTGAAGATTCCAAACATTTATATACTAAATCAATCGTGTTTTACATAGCCGTGTGTATGTATGCGTGAGCGCATCTCCTTGTAAAAGTGAAAGATGCTCTACTTGTAAATGTAGCTATAAAATTGAGTTTATATTATCTGTCTAATTAGTTATCGATTTGTGGTATGTACCTATAATCGTTGTTAATGTTACAGTATAACATAACTGAAACAGGTATTTTTACTTAAAAGGGTTCCCAAATATCAATGTAATGCATACTTACAATGAATGCATCTTTATTTTACTTATTTATTCATATTTTTCTGATGCATATATTACGATTATTTTCCGCATAGATTAAATTTTAATTTTATTTTACCTTCTTAAGTGAGTCTTTAGGCTTACTTATGTGCTTTAGTATACTTTTTTGTTGGGATTAAAAATAACAGTAGCATAATTATTGCAATTAAAATTTCGTTCGTAAGCGGTTTTTATAATGAAAATCCTACTCGAAAATTCGAGCAAAATTTTCGAAGAATGTTGTCGAAAGTGAAAAGATTATTGATATTGCGTCTGCTTTTAACATTATATTACATACAATATAAACTAGTTACCAATATATTTCGTATGTCCATTCACGCCAGAATATATTGTAGAGCAGTGTTTCCAAACCTTCTGTCCCATGCTTTCAAAAATTTTATGTAACACATAATTTTTAATATAACAAACATTGAATTGTTCACTTAAGAAACATAAATAATAGGTTTTAAAGAAATCAATAGTAAATTGGAAACAGTATAAAATAATATTTCAAAACATAATGAAAAGCTGAAATTCTAATTCGAAATAATTTTAATAAATTTTCGAATAGCCCCCCTTAACAATCAAATTGCCCTCTGTGGGGCGTGGGCGCCACGTTGGGAAACACTGGTGTAGAGCATAAACACGACAGTTCGTCATACAATCGCAAAATCCCAAAATGGTGAGGCGTGCTCCAGTTGGCTTTACTTGAAACCAACATCATAAAATTTATTGATGACTAGCGGTCGCCCGCGGCGTTGCTCTTACACGATTCACTATTAGCCTTCAAATATTGCAGTATTAAGATTACATTTTAATTGCTTCTTTAGACAAATCCTTGAGGCACTAAGGCTTTAAGATATAAATAATTAAATAGGTGATATTCTTAAACGTATAGACGTTAAAACGTGACGTGAAATATTTCAGGAAGAATTTAAATCGAACAAACCGAACGAACCGAAAATTTTTTTTTTTGATATCTCTTATTATTTTTTTCTTTGATTATTGTTATTATGTGTATGTTTTTGATAGTAATAAATGTTATGTCTTTGTCTATGTCTAAATTACTGAATATTATCATAAAATATTATATGCATTTAGTAAATACATACTGTGCTTGAAACACATTTTTTAAAAGTAACGTTTTTATTTTAAGCAGATAGCTCGGTTTCCAATTTACGATTTCGTATATTCTTCAACGTTCCGATGGAATATTCGTAAATTAGGGTTCTTAAAGAAAAGAGTCCATAGCCAGGTTTTAAAGGCCGCCAACGTCAGGAGATGCGGTCTGACATTGAGAGCGTCCATGGGCCAACACTGCATGGTAATGAATGAATATAAGAACCCCTAACTCCTTCAGTAACACGATTTCATTCAGAATCAACCCCCGACCTCTCAGCAACGCTTCCCTTAAAAATTATGTTTATATAAAGGCACGAACATTCAGGAGGTAGGTATGCCTCCATTTCAAAAAAAGCTAATTTCTGCCACATTTAACTAAATTAGCAGTAAAAATGGATTTCGACTACAAGAAAGCCTTAGTCCAATAAAATTAATAAATATTTACTTTATTTTGTAACTACTACAAATAAAATTTAAATCAGTGGCGCTACAACCTTTTAGGGCAGCCTCAGATTTCTGATATCATGATCATTTTAATCTATGGCAGTAGGTATCGCTCGTGCACACACGTCATCACCTATATAAGCAGGCCCGTTTCCTGACGAGTTTTCGCTTTGTAGTTCGAAAGGCATTTTAAACGCACTATAAATGAAAGTCCTTACAGCCCCATAAATCGTAAAAGCAACGACCTCAGGAATGAGAGTCTTGTCGCCTAATTCACTAGATCGATACTGCTTTTAATCGATGAATATAAAATAATCTTAGTGATATTAACTTATTCAGACATCTAGAACTCTCCAGTATTTCTCTCAAGTCTTTGCAGAAGAGGGGATCCAAGATAAAGCTCGAGAAATAGATGTTTTGGCGATTAATAACAAAACGAACTTTTAGATTCACAATAATCAAGGAAATGTTAACGTTATACTGCAATATGTATATTTACATTTATAATCCTACTAAATATTAGCGTGTATAAATGCATTCAGATAGCTTTATTAGTATGGAGGATATTTGTACTTTTCACGTAATCAAACCAATGAATGGATGTTACGTTGAAGGACTCGCTTTGTAATGGAAAGGCTTTTACGCCTATAACTGAAATTATTTAGGCCCCATACAACTCATAAAAACAAGTATAGATTGTTATCCAAAATAATTTAGTCGCACTGATAGAAACATATACACAATTCTTCGAGCTACTCTAAAGTACTTTTCCCAAGTCTGAAGAAGAACGGGATATGGGAAAAAGCTCGACATGTGATGACTTGGCGCCAATGTTAACACAATTAAAAAGATGAATATCTTGATTACAGCATTTTTTAAGGTTCTTAAGCTTTCTGCAATAATAATCATGCGCAATAAATGCAATCGCTTAAGAATACTAGGCCTTATTTAATTCCTTGAAACATAATCCATCTTTAACAAAAAATCACACACTTAAAATTTTATATACAGAAATAATTATAAATTTATATATTATAATTTTATTTTTATATAGGCCTCCTTCAAGTATTCATAATAAGTAGGGAATATTTGTCATCCATTGGCTCCGGCTTTGTAAGGTGTAGGTAAGGTGGTTATTAATTATAATAATAATATTACCCTCACTAGGTTCCGGAATCTCATAGAGAATTTGATAGCCTTAACAAAATAGTTATCAAATGACCGTGTGATAAACATAGTCTGTTTCGGTTCATTTATCTTTAAATAGTTTTACGAGTATCTATGTAGCTTTTTCCAGAATATAAACAAAAGCTTGCGATACTTTAACAAATTCTTAAATCTGCTCGACTGTACACCACGCCGCTCGGTTGTCGTGGTGTCTTAGCGAGCGTGTACAACCGGCGTAACGCCTTCTTGGATTCGGAAACCTCAATACACGACCGTACCCTGCGTACATTCATTCTAGAACTTTCCTGTTAATAAATGTAAAGTTCCAATTTGTATCGAAGAAATCAATTCAATAGTAAACGAAATAGAATGTATGTTATTTACACGTTGCAAATTCTACGAAATAGCAAAACCATAAATAGTACAGTTACTACATAGTGGGGTTAAGTGAAGACCTTGCTCTGAATCTAGCGATTACGATTACAGATTGTCAAATTGGTGCAGTATAATTGTAGTGATGAGAGACAATTGTCGATGTTTTCTTCAATCTGACGCTGATTTTAACAATTAGAATTTTATGCTCATATGTTCCTGGAATATTCATGAAACCTCTTCATAAATTATGGTTCGTGATCTCAGATGAATGAACCTTGAGGGAGCGATACCCTGAAATATTATTGATTTGGGTTGGTATGTACGGTATTCTGGTTCTTGGAATGATCCATAAAACACCTAGAAATTTGATAGTCGAAAGCAAAACTTATAACACCACCATATAGGTACCATATTGCTGTTAATGCAAATGCTATATTTTCTAATTTTTATTTATGTTTGTGAAATGTCATATTAAATTACAATGCTCCCGGTAAATAAAAGAAAGTTAAAAATATATTACTTTTTCAAATATTCCAAAGTCGTCCTTTAATTTTAAATGCAATAGTGTAAATTAAACCGGTATTTTAAATGACACTCACGAAAATAATTAACCTATATTTGATATCAAATATCACAAATTGTCGATTATATTCTCCCATCACTAATTTATCATTGTTTGGGGCAATTATATCAAAATTTGCGTAACTTCATAATTATTTCACTTCGTGATGCGAGCTTTTATTAAATACTAATTGGATTAAATCTCGATCGTGTCTTAGATTAGAGTCGAGCCGTGTAATTATTTTTTAAAGCTATAATTTCTTATCGATAAATAATATTGTATAACTTGTTAGTCTAGTTATAAATAATTAGTATTTTAAATTATATTAATGATTATTTAAGTGAAACTTTATAACAAATATTTACAATATTCCTAACATATATAGTAGTAATAATAATATTTTAAAATTTAGTAATAGAAAAGTAAAACAAATTTAAAAAGTTTGGTCCCTGTGGCAGAGTACCTTTAATGTTTGTAGCATTTTCTCGCTGTATACGTATATATTGTAATTAAATGTAATTAAAATTGGTTTATTAATAGTGAAAATATGTCTAGGCTCTGTGGTAAAAAAAAAAAAATATAAATAAATAATCTCTAAAGGTTCCTAATCCCAGTGTGCTTAACACAAAAAGTCTATCTTTGGGTATG